TTAGACGAGATGAGACAACATAACAAAAAAAAAAAAAAAAAATTTCTTTCAAGAAGTATTTAATATGTACTTCATGTTTTTTCCCTTGCTAACATAAATTAATCATTGGTTAGTTTTAAAATTAATGTTATTAAAGAAATTCCTGCCAACAGAGTAACCTTGGCCCATCCCTTCTTTTGTCTTGACCCTGATAATTTCATGGCCCGAATTGCTGTCCCGGTACTCCTCGAGACTTTATCCAAGTAATTTAGACAGTGTTCTACTCCTTGTATATTAGGGTCAAATAACTGGTAACATTTTGAACTGCACAAGAGAGTCACGTTTTCCACTAACATATTGAATGCATATCACATATACCCCACTATATTAAGGAAACTTGGTCTATACAAAAGTAAGGATGTGAACACAAATGCCTAGCAAGAGTAAATGAAGATCTTGAAAAGCACTGCACACGGAAAAGACATTCCTCTCAGTAAGATCTCTGGCACAACAGACACAGTATATTGGAAAGAAGAGCAAAGAGGAAGGGAGAAAAAAAGGCATACACTGAAGAAGTTCACAAAGGAATTGTCCTCAGGGAGATGTGGAGCATTTGACGCAGTAGACGATGAAGGCTCCAGAGGACCATCAATTACAGCCATGGTTGGAACTGCTTCCAGCTCTTCAAATTCACTGTAGTAAAATTGCATATTACCAAAAGCTCCTTTCAGAAACCAATTGACAGCAACTGGCAAAAGTCAGGTTATGGATAAACAGATTATTCCAGAAACAGTTACAATTACTCTTATACCTTAGACTGCCTAACTTGACAAAGATTTGTTACATCTAGTTACTTCAAAATGTACAAGAGGGCTTTATTTTAATGTAATACCCAGAACTGTGTATTATTGGAAAATGCCATGTACTCGAAGTATTTATAGAGATCACTTCTACTACCAACAAGATTGAAATAGTTTCTAATATACACCAAAGGGTGTGACCTTGTGGTCAATGAAGTGGGTTGAGAACCATGAGGTCTCAGGTTCAAACCCCAGCACAGACAAAAAACACTAGGTGATTTCTTCTCATCTATCCTATCCTTGGTGGATAGAGTTACCTGACATCTAATACATGTTGGTGGGAAGTGGCAGGTATCCCATGGAATTAATCACGAGGTGAGCGCAAGCTGGCCCGGACACCATGTTTAACCAAAAAGAAATAGTATCTAATATCTTGTGACCAGATCCCTTCATCTGGATGACATCAACAATTATCTATTATGCACCATTTCACTAAGGGCAATGAAATACAACAATCGATACAAAGGTCAATAGATCTATCAAACATACTTGTAAAAATGTTGAAGCCATTAACACCCTTACATCTTTAACCCTTTTTCTGTATTGTGGGGGGGGGGGGGGGGGTTTCTAAATTTCAGTAAGCATAAATTATATACCTCTTCGTCAATGGCACTTTTGACTTGGTAGGCACCTTGGAATATGCACCGAGTATCCTGAAAACCAGTAAACACTAAATTGATTGACAGGTTTAAAAGTTGATCATCAAAGAGAACACATCGAAGATATGTTTGTATTCAGTGTGGTAGAAAGGTACTTCTTTTTGATCCCTTTGTTTCTCATTAAGCTGGCCAAACAATTCACTAAACTAAGATCGGTTGGAAGTGCTGATTTGCATCAGTAGGCACCAACCGTATGAATTCTCACTTCCATATTCTTCAATTAATAAATCAATAAATATTACATACTAAAGTTTCTTCAGAGAATCAAGTAGGGATCTAAAATATTTTAAAACTAATTTTCCTGAAACTAAGCTAGGCCTAGTAGACACTAGCTTATACACCAGATTGTTTATAAGTTCTCTAACTCTGTTTCCACTATATCTAAAAATCATCAACCAACAAATATTTTAACATATGTATTCCCCAAATGAAATAAACAAAGGAAAACCTGCACTGAGCAAGTTCAATTTGGAGAAATATGATAGCGTATGAACCCCATCGAATCCCAATGAAGTATAAGTACGAGAAATAAACTACTCTTCAAGATCAAAAGCATGAACTGAATCCAACAAATTTAACTACTTTGTATTTCTAGAATTAACACCCTACATGGAACAATAATTTTACTTATGCCAAAGCAGGAAAGAGAAGGGGAGGAAAGGAATCATTTCTGAAGAGAGAAGCTGTGAAAAGATTACCTGTCAAAGAGATTTGCAACTTCTTCACATTCACGCTGATTATAAAACCATATCCCGTTAACTTCTTGGGAAGCATTTCGATACAACAAATATGGAAGCTGGATCTCATATTCAAAATCTCCCAACAGATCCTCCACCAAATTATCTGCTCACCAGAATAAACACTTTTTAGGCACAGTAATAGATCATATGTACTCACACAGAAGGAAAACTCACAAACTCCCTATTGCAACTTTCAGTAAATATGACAATTCATATGACAAGCTTTAAACATCAAATTTACTAAGATACATGCACCATTTCTGTTTTAAGTTTTTTATTTATTATTTTTAGACGTGTACCCCCATGATATCTTTTCATAAAAGGAAGTTCTTTGCATTAGGAACAGGAAAATGTAAAAAGGATATTTGTTTTCTTTCTTTTTACATAAATCAGAATGAGTACTCAATGTTGTGCAGTCCTCGTTTATTACATGATAATTGCATTGAGTAGTAACTTCCATTAGCCAAAATTATATTATGCAGTCAGGGTTTTAGAAATTTAAAACTAATGGATCAACATGCAGGCCAGAAATTTTATTTAGAATATGAGTGACTTCAGGTATCCAATTTTATCAAAAGAGAACTTTTTTGACTGCTACTGGTGTGAGCGGTAAGAAGTTTTGGTCTTAAGTCAAGCCAGGGCATCATTTCATTCTTGTAACACGACTAAGCACACAACAAGACTAGACAAGGTACTCCTGCGCCTCCTAGTAGGCATCTGTCTTTCAAGTTCTAAGATGGCTCCTCTTATTCAATGGTAGTTTACATTTTGTGGATCTGTGCTGACAGCCATTAAAGTAGGGGAAATGCTAGCCTTCATATTAGAAGTTTAAAACTTCACATCTGAGTAAAGCAAGAGATTGGTCCAAATGCTAAGGCTGATGGTACTTATTTGTTAAAGGATTCTTAACAAAAAGGGAAAGTAACTCCGCTTCGACCCAAAGTGAATGTGATGTACTTCACATTATTGTAATGCATAAAGGCTATAAACCTGATGAATAGTATTACTACAATTCTGGGGTCTCCACATCAAATAGTCAATCATGTATAAGCTTCAACTTTATGAACATTTTTCAGCAGCAAAAAGGTAAGGTTACATTCAAATCCATTAAAACATAAAAGGCAAGCCAAGAGATATTGTGTTTATAGTCATTATTTGAAAGCAGATAAACTGACCTGTATTTCTGCGGTTCATAACAATAAACTGAAACCGAGGTTGAGAACTCCTGTAAGACCCGCTAAAAAGTAATTATCACAAAAGAAAAAAGTACAGAGATCAAAAATAAAACTTAAAACAAATATTCCAGTAAAGATGAGTTTTTTTTAACTATTAAGGAGGTCACTGTTTTCATCAAATTCAAGAACAAGTGAAGGAAGATATGCAAAAACATGAATCTCCTTCATATTAGCTTCCCAAAGCTTATCTAGCCACAAAGTCGGATAAAAGAGGAAGGTTATAATAAGTTAACAGCCAGCACCAACATAGTTTTACTACGAGGGAACGATTAAGCCCGGACACGGACGAAGAAGAGGGTTACGGAAACTAAAGCGGACTCCAACTAGAAACTGAGATTTAGTTGATTGATTATATCAAAATTAAAAATGAAAAAAATCACCTCTTGACAACAAATAGAGATCCTTCGATATCCTTCCGACTCTGAACAACAATTCAATTGCGAATTAGACTAACAGGAACTATGTGAATACAAAAGTATGAACCAGCAAAAAGAATAAAATCGGGAAGATTTGATACCCATTGGCTGTTATCAATACTGAATTCGTACAAGGTAACATGAGCAGCAGTGATGAGGATTTCTTCAATGAAAGGATCAATCCTCTGAAGAACCGTCAAGTTTAGCAGCTTCGTGCTGTTCTGGTCCAGATTCGGCATCAATTTCGTGTTTTGCGACATTATTGCACCGAATCTGAGAACGGCAAGTAGCTGTAAGCTGAGGCCCAACTTCGACTATCACACAAAAAACCCTAGAATTGCTCCAAATTGAAGGAAGCCCAGCTTTGTTTTGCTATATATATCTGATGGGAGAGATGATGAACAGGGGACAGACACATCACACTTAAAAAAATATATAGTTTTCTTTTTTAATTTCTTTATATATATATATAAAATTCTTTTTTCTTATTTTTACTTTTACTACGATTTACAAAGTTTATGGCCAAAATAAAGTTAGATTGTATTAATTTGATACTTTTGAAATAAAAATTTAGATATTTAGAAACTACAGAAAAACTAAATACTTCAAATTGTAATTCTTTTAATATGAAAAAAAAATCTTAAAATATTAATCAATTTTTACTCTCATCCCATGAGCAGATATACATTTTTAGTCTAAATGAAAGTAAAAAATCAATTTTAATTTTTTTTTTTAAAAAAAAAAAGTTCCTTGTAGGGTATATTTAGTAAAGTTAGGAATTCATTTGCTCCATTTAAAAATGTCAAAAAATACCCTCAAATTAACATGAATTATAACATGTAGACGAACTATAATATACTTGGGTCAATTCATTTCATGTATTTAGAAATATCAAAAATTTATCCTCAAATTATAATATGAATTGCAACATGTACTTCATCATCAAACCCAGGATACTAAGATAAAGGAGATGACAACTATAGCGGAAATGCTTTCCACAGCAAATTTTAAGCAAAAGCCTTGTATTTGCCCAAACTTATATGGCATTATTCACACACAAGCATCCGATGTACCAATATGAGGCAGGCAGCAGCAAAAGTAATACAATTTCACATTAGAATGATCCATATAAGATAGTACGTACTCTCAAAGACAACCGAACACAAAGCAAATGCTTATACTAGAAAAACACAGAGAGACTGTAATCCACACAACTCTTTTCTCAGTTTCCTCATTCAGTTGCTTTTCCTTTGCACCTGCTGCTACAGCTGGTTTCTATGAGGTAACAAACCATGGAATCCACATCATCCCCAAATATGCTATAAGCCTCGATCACTCGTGGATAGCTGAAACCCATCGACAGCATAACCTGGATGCAGTCGCTAAAGGCAGAATCCGGCGAACTCAGCTCTTGCCCAGCTTCCTGCCGTTTCTCACTTCCTGATGACCCTGTGATTTGATGTTGAAATTTCAAACCACCAAATTTGCGGATCTTGTATCAATAGAAGGGTAAAATGTAAGATCACACTCACTAGTTCCTGAAGATGATGGTTCAGCACCGGATGTGGAAGATTCTCGACGACCAAGCTGTTGCCGGAACTTATTATCATGCGCAATATACTCAGCCCTAGAAGCTTCAATCACCATGCGTTCCATCTCCTTCTCAGTGAGTTCAACATCTGAGTAGAAGCGTCCTTCAGCAAGAAGCGCCTGAAATGGGACCATTTAGCCAACTAAAAAATCCACATGAAAGCCAAGTGTATGGAAATCATTCAAATATAATTGAACTTTAAGGTACTTAACGTTATCAATCTGTTGCTCCTGTTGAGCTTTAATTGCAGCTTTTACATTATCCTTGTCGATGTTTTTCTGCAGGAAAAAAAACATATATACATGAAACTAATAGATAGGTTGGCGAAGAAAGAACATTATCATATATCACAGACTACTGAAACAACAGTCTAAGAAAAATATAAAGAATAATTTCAACTACATAACCTAAAGCACTATTGCTGTAGCAGATAACAGATTGATATCATATTTCCCAACCACTAGAATGACGGTTTAAGGAGACTACCAACTTATCTCCTTACAGAAGCAGAAAGCAGATAACATGTTTGTTTGCAGATTAAAAAGTATACCCCTCGCAGAGAGCTAAACCCAAGCCCAGCACCAACTGATAATCGGCGAGGATCGACAAGGGAGTTGTAGTGATTTCCATGATGATAACTGAGACGGATAGGAGGGGTATCTGAGTTATAACTTCCATGGAACGTGTTCATTGGTTCTGCATCAATAAGTTCCACAATTTAGTGCAAGAAGTCAACAGACACCAGTCCGCAAAGCTGAGCATTACAATCACCAATCTTATTACAAAAAGAACAGTCAAAAGTCAAAAAGAGAATTTACCGATGCTGTAAGAATATATATGGATAGGGCGATTATACATTTCAGATAATGCTTGGATTTCCACGTTGTTGCCGTAGACCTACAACAAGTAACGAAAACATAACTCCAGTTGTTCTAACAAGGAATTGAGAAACAAAGAAAGATATGCACACAGATAGATAATCGATAAGCAAAACACCATCCACCAATGCGACAGATAGCAAAAGCTCTAACAAGAAATGGATATTTTCAGTCCATGCGAGTTCTTTAATCCAGCCTTTTGAAAATGAAGTAATCTAAGAAAAATCAAGCAGAAATGATTTGAAACTAAACCCCTGTGCAGGTACACTAAACCCATCCTTTCTCCCTCAGAATGGGGAAAGAGAAGGGGAAAAGTAGACATTCATTCAATGCCAAAACGCAAAACCTAACCACCTCAACATCAAAAGAAAGAAGAGCCTGAAGATAATTGGAAATACAATGCATGAGTTAATCATATGCATTATAAGGAAATTAGCAAATAACTAACAGTAGAATGTAGATGTTAAGAGGTTCAAGCAGTTTGAAAATATTCAACAAAAAACTATAGAAAAGTGAATTCATACAGCGTAACCATATTTTTTTCCACTGGGAAACCCCTTCATCATTTTGTGCACTCACTCATGTTGGACTACATGCAGTTTAGAATAGCACTAAAATTATCTCTGATGACAATCATCTACAAAATAGCATCATCCTAGCTAATACTTTCAAGTCCAAATAACATCTCTTACAGTTGTGTGTAACAAGTGCTCCAATTCTGCTTGATAATTGCTGAATAATCACATGACATACCTTGTCTCTCCTTTTTCTCTTGCAATAGGATGTGAATCCTTCAGTTATGAACTGAGAGAAGTGGTCTCTTTCGCGCTCCTACAAAAAAAGATGCTAAACATATAAATAAAGATATAGCAAAATAAGTTATTAGGTGGTGCAAGAAATACATATAAATGATAAAGACGGATGAACCAACTTATACGTGATAAACTCTAGTTGAGTGATCAGACACATAATGATAGTCATAATATTCTTGTATTTTCTCCAGTAAGTTGTCAGCATCAAGGGAACATGAGGATACGAAATTATGCATCAAGCACGTCACATTTAAACAAAATTTTCGACACTGACCTGTTAAATGCAAGAAGCCGACATGATGAAATGGAAACCAAACAATAACAATATACACATGTACCACCCACCCTCTACATCTTCCATCACCCCTGCTCCTAACAAGAAGAGGCATAGGGTGTGTTCGGGAGAAGGACGATGCTTGTCATGGAAAATGCTTACCAAGAAATAAGTGAGTTTTTTACTTATTTTCTTGTGTTCGGTACAGAAGCAAAAAAAAAAAATTATCCTAGAAACACTATTTTGTATACAATCTAGAAAAATACTATGGGGGTGAGGGTGGGGGCGGTGGAGATGAGGCTACATGAAGGGGTGAAGATAAGATAGGGAGGACACGCAATGGCGTACACAGGATTTTTTGTAAGCAGGGTTGATATTTTAAAGTAAATAAATAAATGAATGATATAACAACATTATATTGACAAAAACTATTTAAAGCATACTAATAGAACTTAAATCAAGTAAACTACTACAACTTATTAATTCTGTTTTGGACAAGTAATTGAAGTTTATAATAGGATACAAATTGTATTTTAGTTCAACTGGTTTATATTTTCTTAATTTGACTAGGAATTGGAGGTTGGAGGGTCAAATCCCCACAACATTTACTTTTATCTGAAAAAGCCCCAAAAAAATAAAACCTAATTTTGGCCTTGGTGAGGATTGAACTCGGCCACACTTGAGAGAATGACTGTTCCTTCCGCACAGTAAACCAACGAGCCTAGGAAACTCACTTGTTCAAGTTGTGTCATTAATATTATTTCTACTTATATTCTGATTTTTTCAGATTCTTATATATATATATATATGTATTACTAAAAGGTTTTAACGAAGCAGTGTCGATCGACACCCCTTGACATATGTTGGGTCCGCCCCTGAGGACACATATCAATGTGAAATGACACTTGAGGGACTTGTTTTCCATACTTCCACTAGGAAAGTCATTTTCCTCATTTGTAAGGAACTTGTTTTCCTAGGGAAAATGTTCTCCAAGAACATGGAAAATTGGACCTCCATACCAAACACACCAATATAACCTTAAGCCTCTTTGTTTTTCTTAGCACTACAACTATAATATAATTTTTAAATTTAACCCCCATTTGGCTAGGTGAGGTTTGATACCTAAAATAACTGCAGAAAGGGACCCTCAACTTCTAAGGTACATGGACTGTGAACTTCCTTCCACTAGAGTCTAGACCATTAAAATAGCGGAAATGGTTAGAATCCTCTTAACCATTATTTACACATCCCTATTACCACAAAGTAACCCCAAAAAGAAAAACCTAAAGCTCATCCTTGACCCTTGCTTCAGGAAGAATCGTATCCAGACCACTCAAAGGATAGGTATAAGGGGGTTATTTTAATGATAAAAGAAAGCTAATTGATCCAGGTAGAAGATAAAAAGAAGTTGGGGAACAAGTCATGAGAATTGTAACTGAGAACAAGCCCATCAAAGAATTCTAGTGGTGAATAAGCTAGCAACAACCAGTAAAATGCTACATCAAAAAACTAGTTGTCCCTTTTTTCTTGGGATAAGCGTTCCTTTGCATTCTAATCAGTCAATTAATCAAATAACCAAGACCATCCCAATTATATATGCCGACTATATGAATTCTCTGTATTCATTTTGCTCTATATAGGAGGCATGTGATGGGAACGTCCATCCAATTTTAGACTACACTTGAATGCCAATGTAGTGCATGCCAAGATGAACGTGCCCAACAGATTTAATGTTTAAAGAGTTCACCAAAGGCAAATTTTTAGATGGCTGGTCAACCTACTATAATCCTAATCCTCTAGGTTCTACAAAACAATTTGCTGCTATAGATGGTTTTGTCAAATTTACTTGATATTTTCAAATATTTTATCATGGATTCCAATCACTAACTTAAATGTAATTCAATTATTAATTGATGTTTCCAATATTATATTTTCTTTTACAGAATACATATAAGGACCACTCATACTCAACTCTCTCCTGAGATCTGAAAGAAAACCCTCTCTTAAATGTGTAGGGAGTGGCTATAAGATGGGAAGATGGAAATTTCATGTCTACACCCCTATTTATTTATTTATTTTTCAGGAAAACAAATACTACATACATCTATACTTAGTTATAAGATTCTCTCACCAAATCTACAATACAGCTCTGCACAAGTGCAGGTGACTTGGAAGGACTTGAGCAGTTACAGGACTCAATGACGGATTTAGAGGACAAGCTATGAGTTCACAGGTGGGTACCCATAAGCATTTACCAGGACCTTGTATATGTCGTAAGAAACATACTAAAAATCTATGAATATATAATTGTAAACCCGATTATTATTACATGTTACAACTTGAGATTTCGTTTGGAACCATAAACATCAATCCTGGATCGATCCGCCTTTAACAGGACTCTACTCTCAACTCTCAAAATACACCATTAAATTTTATTTGGCATACACAAGGCGACAAAAGAGACAGTCGGAAGTTATTACAACTAATGCCTCAAGTTCCCGAGCTCCACTTGTTGACATAGAAGATGAGGTTGATTCAGATGAGTCAGGGGAAGAAGAGATTGAAGGCTATAAATCTAGTGATACTGATACCAATGAGAATCACCCTATTGAGGAAGATGATATGGAAGAATATTATTCTAGTGATTAGAAAGAAGTAGAATATATAAGCAACATACGCTTTTTTTTAGTGAAGCCCACGCTTTTAGTGAGCTTTGCGCTTTAAGCTCTATCAGGCTTTAGCGCTTTTCGCTTTTGACAACACTGTTCAGTACTGGCATCAAGTAGATGCAAAGAGTGTGTTAGCTCCACACATGATGTTATGCTTTAACCAGGGAGCTAACCATAAAAACCCAAAAATAAATACACCACTAAAAATATTATGCACAAACCATATAGTGAAAAAAATTGTAGCACCAGCCGAGGGAAAGAAGTTACTTCAGTTCAGATATAAAGGATATGCAACACAGGACATCTCAGCATGCCAAGAACCTACTACATATAGACATATAGGAAACCAATCTGGCTCTCAAATTAACAGATGCGTATTTGTTTCCACGGTAGATGCTTCTACAGTTGTTCTGTCAGTGCACTCTTTCTATCCTCAATTGTACCAGGCCACCGTCACCCACATTTTACAATTAAAAATCAACAAGGAGAGAACCAATTAAACTGGTGACCCTCTAATGTAAAACCAATATGATAGATTCATCTCCCCATCTAATAGCATGTTAAAACAACACGTTTCTAAATGAAACCAAAATTAAGTGAACAAAATTCTAAACCTACCAAAGAAGAAAAGAAAGTCAACAAATAAAATCGCATTTATACAGTGTTCTGTACAAAAATTACCATGTAGTCGATGCACATCTGCCTGACCAAATCATAAGCTTCAGAATCACCATATACTTGGTCAGCAACTGCACGGAAGAGGCAGTTCCCATCTTCACGCATTTTCTTAACTTCTAAGCCTTTAGCTCTTCTGATATCAATTTCAAACTGGTGCTCTCTCTCCTGAAACAATATGAAAAATGTTAAGTTCTCAAATTTCAGATATGTGCAACAGTTTTTGATAGAAGGATAATTGTAACTTGTAAATTACTAAATAAATCATCCTTTACTCATGCTAAACTACATGAGCAGAATGACCATTCCAACACTAACTAAATGTGATGCATAATTTAGCGCAGGGGGAATGGTATTGCTGATAAAATGTGCTTAAGATATCAACCAATAATCAATTATATTCCTATAACGGATAAGAGGAGCATAAGCTGAAGCCTTCATCAATTTCTACTAGATAAGTTTTTGGACTTACCACATCATTGCGTGAGGATCCAAAGTTGGGATTCTGCTCATCTGCACTATTATAACCTTCACTTTCGCAGTGTGACCGTGGAGAGGATGGCCTAGATCCAGTAGGTGAAGTCCTAGTTGATACATTGGTCTGCCCAACAAATTCCCTAGATGATCCTATCCGTACTGCATTTGAACTACCTACTGAAAATTTCCTTGGGCTAAGGTTTATTGAAGCAGATTTAGGAGGTGGGACAGGAGGTGGAGGAGGAGGAGGTGGACAAGAACTACCTTTAGGCTCCAGCAGACAAGTACCTTCATTTTCCACTACCTCAACTCTTAAACCACTAGATCCTTTTATGGAGTCCCCACAGACAAAAGCACCATCACATACCTTCTCATTGTCAACAATCTTTTCTTCAGGGAGGCTTCGGTCACAGCTAAAACTTTCTACTGAAGCATCATCACCATCACCTTTGTGATTGAAGGAACCAACTGAAACATCATCCAAGACAATTGATTCTGGAAACTCTCCCACCAACTCATCATCTTTCAGAGCTGATGGCACTTGACTAGTGCTAGAAGCCTGTGGCTGTGATGAAGCTGAAGAAGAAGCAGATGATCCAGGGAGTGGCACTGACGACCTGTTCTGGTTTGATGACGATGATGAAGACCCTGTAGAACCTCTTTGAACAAGTATCCGTGTCATTTTTGCTACCCTTCTTCAACTAGAGACCCACAGAACAATCACTCTGCCTTAACCCAAATTAGAGAAACACTTTCAATTTATCTCGCTTCCTGGCCTTTGGGGCGGTCACGCCAATACCTTTACTGAATGATTTCTTGCAGCAGCTTACTTCCCTTTGATCCTCGCGAGCTACTTTCTGCATTCCCCTAAAAATTCTCATGAGAACTTCACTTCCAAAACTCTTTTTTGAAACAACAAGGCCTGTTCTCTTTATGTTCCTTGAAATTCCCCAAAAGTAAGCCACAACCTTAAAGCTGCAATTAAGATCATTTGTCATCAGCACCAACTATTTCTCAATGCCAAAACAAATCGAAACAAATACACTAATACTCTTAAACCATTCTCCTCTTTGGACCCAATTAATTTCAAAGCTAAAAAAATTGTCAAGGATTCTACAATTTTATTACGATCTCACATTTATATACCAAACTAAAACAGCCGTCGCATTTAAAATAGAATTTCAAGACAATAAATATGAGAAAGAAAATCCCAGAACCATCAAATAAATTCAATTCCCAAGTAACAAATTAGATATAATATCCTACAAGAGATGATCAAACCATAATTTTTCTAACCAAACGCAAATCGATAGAAAATAACCAATAATGTCCTGACACAACCGATAAAGATAAAGACGCATTTCAACAGAAATGGGGCAAGAACTTACCAATAGAAAACCCTAGAGAAGACTCGAGGCGAATTACTGGATTATGAGAGACCGAATTGAAGCGGAAATTGGGAGTGATTAGGGTTTATAGTATGTAATATGTGAAGCGGATATAGGGAAAAATTATGTAATTACCTTCCAGGCGAAGGAAGAGAGAAAAAGAGGAAGAATGGACACGTCACTTTGGGAATTTTACCATTGTTACGGTCAAGTGCTTTACACATGTCAACTAGTGGAACCCTCACTGGCTTTCACGTTTGACAAAATTTCATAAATACGGGATATAGGGAAATGATATGATGCCTTAAAATTTCATACTTGTTGTTTTATTTGCTTGATATCTTTCTATTTTTTTTTTAATTTATTAAAAATAATTTTTCTAATTCATAAAGATAGGGATAAGATTTATATAAATATTTTCTGAATGTAGACATCAAGTTTTAAATAGAGCACTTGGTATGCTATTGTTGTTAGTGAGCAGGGTTAGGCAGCAGAATTATTATAGTGTTTATATTATCTTTTGGAGTTGACCCACTGTAGTCATGTTAGAGGTCTCAAGTTCGAGATCTCTGCTGGCATCTGAGTTGAGCTCGTTGTATCGAGTTTGCCTAGTATGGGTTACGTCTCTTGTGTGGTTTGTGAGTTATTACATAGGATCGGAGTTTTATCATGTGCACATTCAAAAGATAACGGCCGCGGATTTTTTTTGTCGTAAAAAAAGAAATATAGTGTTCATATTTTAACTTTTAAATAATGATTCTACGTGCATAATCATTTTCTTTTTTCAATTTTGAAACCGTTTTTTGTCATTAAGTTTTAGAATTAAATGGAGACAAGATTGAAATTGAATTAATGTCAAATTTCTAAGAAAAAGTGGATAAATTACAGAAGTGAATAAGCAAATTGATGTCCAAAAACTCAAAAACAATAGAGACGCATGCAATTAAATGACAACAAAATCAAAATGAAAGACACCAAATCCAAATTTGAAGGAAAGCTAAGCACAACAACACCAATTCAGCAAATGTCCTAATTATGCCTTCGTAGAGTCACAGCAGAGAAAACAACAAGGATGATGAAGATGAATGCTGCAATAAAGGACGCCACCACTGCGCCGCTCACTCGCTGGCAGAAATCTCCAAACTGTTGGCATATCGCCACCCATTGTGTGGTGGAGTTGCCGTTATGTGCTAAGTACACTATGGCAGTAGCCGCAGCTGCTGCGGCTGTAGTAAATGCCACCATTACCTGCAACATTAAATATAGCTTTTAAAATGCCCCTTTTAATGTTGTTTGTTAATCAAATGGACTAAATTTGAACAGATCAAAATGAGTTGAACCTAACAAGAAATTTTGAATGCCTCTTTCGAATTAGTAAGAAATTTATGGTGTGAACAGAACATTTGCCTGAATTAAGTTTAATCAAAAGCTGTGTAAAACACATAACAGAAAAGTAATCAAGTTTTATTTTAATTACCGTATCAAGAATTAAAAGCACAAGTTTGGCTCCAACTAGATGAGGTCGAACAATGCAAACAATGGAGAAAGGCAGAGACAGGACAACGTATGCACTTGCAATAGCATTTGCCACCACAAAATACCTGAATAAAAAAAATCAATCAAATACACTCAAATATTAATTATTATACGCATTTGAAGTTGAATTAATAAATAAACGTACGAGAAAGCGGGGAGATCATCATAGCTAGCTTGGAACTGAAAGAACTGAGTGAAAAGAGGAAGAGTTTCTTCAGTAGTTCCCATAGTAGTTGCTGCAGCGAGAGTAGTGACAAGGGCACAAAGTCGCAAAATAAAGTCGAAAATGCTAACTCCTCTTCGCCATCCTCCTTTCTGATTATGTGAAATGGTCTTTGTGGTAGCTATAATTGGTGCTGCAGAAGAAGATTTTTGCTTGATGGACTCTGTTTCAGACATGTTAATTGCTGTTTCATAGCTAGTAGATTTTGAATCCATAATTAGTACTATATGCTTGTAGAGGATTGTATTTGAGAGAGGTTCTTTAACAGATCAAGTAATAACAACTTTTTTACGTTACAAAAGAAATATGTGTAAATAAGGGGGATGTATGTATGTAAGATTATATAAGTTACTGTTATTTGCGTTATGAATGAATTATGAGAAGTTCTGGAAATATATATATATGAGTCTGGTGGGGGTGGGGGGACATGGATTAGTTTGAATGCAATGGTTGAGAATTGTTAAATGAAGGAGTTGTTATAAAGAGAATTCATCAACTTGTAAAATAAAAATGTTGAAGTATCTTTCTTCATTGAATATGAAAAGCAAAACCAAAACTAAATGATAATAAATGCACTTTGGGAGCAATAAGTTCGGCTTAATTAACATTTTTTTCTTGTAATAAATAATATGGGAGTTATTTTACAAGAATTTTGACTCAATCACATTATAATTTTTTTTGTTACATAAAATGACATTTTTCATCTTTATATACTAATGATCTTAATAATACCATATAATAAAATTTAATCATTCTAAAAGTTAGAAGAATATTTCTAGACTTTTTAGTGTAAGTAGGGAAAACGAGTTCCTAAAATGGCATTCCATATTGATTGTACCCTCTCAACATGCCTCCCACGCTCAACTAGGTATGTGTACTCTCAACCCTCTCCAACTCCATTTGTAGAATGAATTTCACTAAATATGTTATTTATATTTTTATCGTGTGCTTTTTTCCCCTTTTTATCAAAACGTTTGTCGTGTTTCTGACTGAAAACTTGTTGGTGTCATGGCTTTAGCCTAGTTGATGAAGAAACCTAAAAGTAGTGACTGCTTTGTATTTGTCAACTCTTTGTAGCTGTTGCACTTCTGTTTGAACTTTAAAATAATGGGAAATAAAGGCAATTGACAGATAAACATTCTCAAAAATCTGATGGAGCAGTTCCTTTCATGTTGGAATTTAGGTTTTTAAGAGGAACAAAGTGGAGCAGTTCACAAAATCCACTCCATTAGAATAACACACAACAAACACACTATTTTGACTTTCCATTACTAGTTTATTTGTTGACAGTATATAGCTTTTCTCACTTTTGCATTGTGAAAAGATGAAAATAATCAAAGAAATTAAAATGAAGAAAATGATTCAACCTTTCACATTCAAATGCTCTCTATAGCTAGATTGCCAATCAGTCTAACCAAAGGAACAGGACATTTTGTAACAATATCCAACCTAGTCAAATTTGAGCCATGTCCAAAAAGACACAAGCTGAGTATAGCAAGTTCTTTGACAGACAATCTTGAAGAAAGGAACCCTTGCCAGTATTTAGGATCAAGATCAAAGAAAGCATCAAACAATCTCCTAGTCCCTTTCAAATCAAGCTTCAACAATGTCTCCATCCCAAATGAATAACATTCTCTAACACATCTTCTATCCAAAGGCCACAAACCATTCCAAACTCTATGGTAAAGTTGAGACCCTCTTATCATTCTTGTTGAGCCAAGCCCCTCGACGATGGCTTCAGCCAGTACTGGTGCCAAAGCCATGCTCCTAGCTACCATGTACCCTGTCGATGGATGAACTATACCCGAATTCCCACCAATAGCCATAACATTTTGAGGAATCCGCGGAAGTGGTCCTCCCATAGGGATCACACATTTCTCTTCCTCAATAACACTTCTCACTTTGATCCCCAAATGCCTTAATCTTGCCACCATCCTTCTTTTTACTTCCATATACGATAACACAGGACGACTCACCAAAGAAGTCTCCTCCAAGAAAACCAAATTCTTATCAAATGGCATTGCATACAAGAATGTTGGTTCTTTAGCATTATTCACCCTTAAATATGGCTCGTTACCTAAATGAGAATCCCTCCAATCCATAAGCACCATTTTATCCAAATCAAATGGATGATTATCAACTTCTACTAAAACCCCATGAGCAATTTGATAACCATGGTTTCTTGGCTTGTCATACTCTATAAAATCACTAGCAAAACCGCTTGCATCCACAACCAAACTACCTCTTATCTTCTTACCATCATCACAAACAATTGAAGACTCAAATTCTTCATGTTCCACTTTCCAAACCTTAGCTTTATAAAACTTCACTCTGTTTTCAACACAACTATTCAACAATCTCAACTTCAGCTTCTTTCTACTTACTCTACCATATGGTCTTCCCAAATACTTAGTTTTATGATCATTTATATGCACACAAGTCATAGGCCATTTATGATCTAAACAATCTTCCAATCCTAAATTCTCAAACTCATCAACCCAAACACCATAATTATTTGGCCACATGGAAAGTGGTGAAGGGTCAACACAACATACCTTAATACCATATTTAGAAACTTGTTCAGCTAGCCTGAGACCAGCAGGGCCAGCTCCGATGATGATCACGTCGAATTGACACCGACCTGAATTAGGATCAACCAATGAGATGTTAACATCAAAAGACTCTGGCTTTGATGTCGGTGCTAAATCAAGAAAGCTACAAAAAAGTTTACTGCTTTCGTTTCTAAGATGACATTTTCTTGATTTTTTTTTGGTGGTGGGATTTAGAGAAGGGTGATTTTGTTGGAAAATAGACCTGTGGGGTGTAGGAGAGGAAAGTAAAAGAGATGTCAAAGGCTTGAGAAGAGTTTCCATTAGAGAAAATGTAAAGATTGATAATGGTTAATTATGGAGGGAGGTGATATAGTGTAAGGAGATGGAACTTGTAGAAATTGAAATACTGGACTACAGAGGAATCACTAAGCAATACAAAATATTGATGCTTTTGGGTACCTACTTTGGCTTATATAACAAAGCAAACAAACAAACAATAAGGAAATGAAAAAAAAAGAGGATAGCTAACAAAGTGGAATCTGTACAAGGCTAATAAAAGCATTTTACCCCTTTTCCCAATCCCAGTCCCTGTTCTATAGTCTATACCTCACTTTAGGATGTGTTTGGTAGGGGTGGGGGGTATATTTTATGTTTTCATATTTGGTTGGTCAATTTTTTTAAAATCCTATTTGAGTTGCAGCTCATTTGGTTTTCAATTCCAAAAATAAATAAATTTTCAGTGACAAGAAAATGAAAAATAATTTCTACAACTTTGAGGAAAATTGTTTACGTGCCCAATTGCATAACCGAATTCTTGCCAATCTGCACTACTTCGATACTAGTTATGCTACATATAGAAAATTATTTTCGGTGAACTTTCTCATAAAAATAAGTTTTATATTACCCAGCACTAACAAACATAGTGATGCATCTTGTAGTCAGTGCATGGACGGCAGGTACATTAGTGGAACTGGGCCCCTATAAAGACCATTTTGATTAATTGACAAGTAAAAACTGGTCCTAGAATTTTTGAATGCTAAAAAAATGGTAATTTACTGGGTTATACATAAACTTTTCTATATAAATAAAATATACTTGATCAAAATTATTGAATTTTGTCAAACCCAAACTCGAGTTATCAAGTGATTAGACAAGTTGGTCAATTTCCAGTAGATCGAATGCTCATTGTGGAGAGGCAAAATTTGGCATCACGCCGTTCTCAGATCAATAAGAACGGGCACCAAGACAAGAAAGAAGGGTGCAGTCATGCCACATATTTTTGACAACCCTAGTGTTAGGCAACTTTCGCATACCTCAACTAGTTTCACAAAATTCATTTCACCTCCTACCAACAAGTACCAAATAATTCTATCCATCAAGGCTAAGACATATAGAAAGAAATTACATAGTGTTTTTTGTCTATACTGAGATTTAAAAACGAGGCTTTATGATTCTCGATTAACCACTAGGTTGAACGCCCTTGGGTACAGTGAAGCCACGACACTTCCCTACCCAAATCAATACTTCTCCTGTACTAGGAGCATCAGAATTATCTTAATTTTTGGGAAAAGGAGATCCAAAACTTGGAATTTGCAAATTCCAAGTTCTTGGAGGATATACACTCTTAACTCAAAGGCAATCCACTTCCTAGGCATTAGAACTCTAAAAATACCTCCCACGAACTATTTTTTTTTCGCTAAGCAGTATCCATACACATGTCAAAACTCTCAACCACCATACATTTGAAAAAATGGTACAAAAGGTAAGTCACGGCACAACATTATATTTACAAACAGGCACGGAAGACCTTACACTTTAGAGTAATTTAGAACTCCACCAGAACATTTACAAATGAGAAAGGCGACAGGCCTTGTCAACAACAATACAAACCTTATCATTCTTTTCCGCACATGTACTTCTAAAGGTGCCAGAACAAGAATCTGCTGGATTGATTATACAATAACCTTTCACTCTGATGATATAGTTCATCTAAATGTATTTGGAAATATGAACCACAGTGCGGCAAATATGGTGCTCCTTTTCAGAGAATTCATGATCTGCAGGAAGGTAGAGTGATGCCTCCACAACAAGCAGCAATTATCAAGTAAAGGAAGAGCACAATCAGGCATGTTAACAAACCCCTGTCATGAGAAAGTTACAAAGCTCAGATTTACGAAGATTTAAGACCAAAAGGCTTCAAACTAAGAACTTTCTTGGACAAGAATGTTGCAAATCTTGATGTAATTAGAGTATTACACTAGTTAAACTAAAGGTGAATTACTTCCTCCAACAGTCATATTTCATAAAGGAACTCACACAAGGTTGATAGAAGTATCTAACAGGCACCACAGGTGCAACACCAACTAACCGAAGCCTAAGACGACTGAAACAAAGGCCAAGCTGTGGCCTATACAATGAGTCTGCTCTTTAGCATGCTAATTTTGAGCCTTATTTAGCTCACCCAACATTAACCAGTTCGTACAGAACAAAATTGAAATTAATTGAATCAAGTCCTCAGCTATCAATGTTGTTCCGTCTTCAAGCTAAAGATTCATGACTAAGAGTATCATAGTGAATCCCAATTCAATAATCCATCCATGCAGAAAATTGGATGTATCATATTGTGGAGAAAATAGTTTTGGATCATATTTGGACATTGATTATGCAGAATCAATCTTTATGTGTTGGATTTGGATGAGATATCAATTTACATACAATTCAATTTATGAGTTGAATTGTTGGATACAATAACTAATATGCAATCCATTAACAGTTTCTTCTCTTTCCTTTCCTATCTCATTTTGTCTAGTAGCTTCCTTTTTTTTCTCAGTTATGTCTGTCTTTAGCAAGCTCTACCTATGTGAACTTGCACACATTGTCGGTCCCAAGCACGAATGAAGGAGGAAGGTTGTGGTAGGTTGACTACAGACCTTAAACCTAGTCAATTTATGATGACTCCATAAAACATCGTATATGTAGGAACGTGCACAACCTAGGAACATGTTATACTGCTACTGGAGTATGATGAAAAATGGATAAGGGATTATCATAATATTGTCTGGATATGAGGGGACAAGGAGCAATGGTTCCAGCATCATGGATGGATGTCGGCAAACTAGTCCACCACATCGACTAGTTTGGGATTGAGACATAGTTTTTTTCCATTGTTGTGCATCTGTTTATATCAAATGACTGGAAATGGGGGAGCCTAAATAGCACTGACTAGCTACTGCCCACTGCAATCGTGTTTTGATAATCACCACTCCAGCAGCTGGGGAAGCTTTCTTAACTCCAAAAACCCAATTAAAGCACGTTCTTAAAGTAAAAAATAAATATGTAATACAAGAAAAAGTAACTTCAAACACAGACAGAAATTTTACGTACAAACGAATTGACTTTTTTCAATTAACTTAAAGATTTTAACCATAAATACTGTGTCAATCATGTTCAAGCTCAACCTATAAAGGTGCAGTTTCACGTTTCTAGTCAATCTTTAAAATTTATTTTTTGATTGTTGTTTCTCATCAAATTTAGTAACTACTTTTCTAATGGAGTACTAAATTTCAACATTTGCAATTCCTGAACAATAACATATTCATCCATATGTTTTCTGAATGATGAAAATATTTGTTCATAGCCAAAATCAAAACTAAAATAATGATTAACATATTGCTTTGCCAGCTATATTTAATTGTCTAGTTAAAAACTTTTCAAGCATAAGAAAGGCAAAGTGTTCAGTTTGCACTGCGACTAGCTTTAGAGCTTAAGCACACCTTCAAATACGCCTTCAGCAACACTAATGTCACAGCATTATTAGCAGAGAAAGTTGGCCTTCATTACAGCAAGTATTGTCAGGTATACATAATTTGAATTGAAGGTGTTCTGAGCTTGAAACTTGTGAGTGTGAGTCACTTTTTTAGTTGATGTGGACTATGTCTATAATACTTTGTAAAAGATACTTACAGGAGCTTCGCGTTTTTCATCCAAAGAGCTCTCCTAAGGCGCTTCGACTGTTTCCTGAAGTGAAATGCATTGTCTTGCATTGTTCCTGTTTTGTCAACAAGTAGCTCAATCCGATCCCCTCTTTCAAGTATTTTCTCAATATTATCAACCATGATGGTGCGTATCTGGATGTACATTGAAGTAGTTTCTTGTACTTTTAGAATAGTTGCAATACATGAAGGAGTGGGGGATTTTGAAAAAAAGGATGCAACAGTAGCATATCACGATGTAAATGCACTATAAAAATCATCAGCCAAAAAGGTAAGAATTGAACACATGCAGCAAATAATGCAATAGGACCAGAATCATAACTAGGTAACGCAATAGGGTATAATATTTCTTTGCTTTTTCTACAGCAACTTACATTGTAAGATAAAACTGTCAATTTTTTTACTGCAGGAAGACATCAAATGGTCATAAATGGTATTCCCTCCATTTCATTTTACATGGTGGTGTTTGACTCAGTTTAGAGATCAGAAAATAAAAAGAGACATGGCAAACATTACTACCCTTAGAACTTGTCATCTTAAACATGACATAACATTTCTATGGCTATAAGAGCATGCCACCAAAGTCAAAATGAGAAGTATAAAGTTAAAGAGTTTCCTACTGAGAAAAATTTATATTTCACAAAGGTGATTGATTGGCCCTGCATGAGATGTTAGGATCATTAATTGCTTCTCGAGTTCTATGAAGTGGAGATAAAAGCCAGACAGTATTTGAAGAGGTGTTCAGATATCAAAGGATAAGTAAGAGTCAAGGGAAAGGAGAAGTTATTTTAGCAGTGATTGCATATTGGAAAATCATCAAAAATGATTGAGAGTTCAACACTACAAATTATCTTAATTGAAACTTGATGCATAACTGTTCTGTAGGAGCTTATTTAGTTTCCAAGAATATAAAACCATTGATAATTTAATAAACTGTGGATATCTTGGAGAGTTAATGCATGCATCCATAGACACAATAAACTGAAGCATATAAGACAGATAAAACAAAAGACAAATAAAAGGAAAACAAATGAAGATGAAACAAAGAATCCTTAAGCTTCACGCGCTTTGGCGCAAGTAAACAGAAAAAATACTTGCCTCACCAACTTCTCCTCTGACACGATTTAGTGTATCTGCACTTGGATTACTTGAAAAGAACTCCATTTGCTGATGCAAGACCCTTGAGAATTCATCATTCATGGAATAGGCAGGAGCATAAGAAGCCACCTTACCATAGTTCTTCATGAACCTCATCTGAATATCCTCCAAGTATGAGAACGGAATCCTTCCTAGAACAGCATTCTCCGTTAGTGGAAGGAATGAGGGATAGCTCAAATGACTAACAGAATTTTCAGTCCTTAGCAACAGATATCCATAAAATATCAACTCATAAGTTTTCCAATGCCAACAATGTTTCTTTCAGGAAGTGCTGAAAGATGTTCGTTAAAAAAAAGTGTGAAGAGATGAAACTAGGAAAGTCAGAAAGGCATCTGTGAAATTTGCAGGTGGAAATAGGACAATCAAGGGTGTATTTGGGCCAACCAGGAAATGAGAAGACACTAATTAGCTTCTATATGATCTTTGAAGACACAAAAATTGGTCCTTTCTGATAACAAAGAGCGCTAAACCAAAAACACAAACACACACATAAACATGGTTTAAGTTGAGGGAAACAGTGACCAAATGCTAAATCAGCATCTGCTCATGGAGCCATTCAGGATAAAGTTAGATACAGATCCAGAATTTAAAGTTCATGCATTAGATACTTAGTGGATTTCTTAAAATGACCTAATCTGAAAACAGGTTTAATTTGTTTCTAGCTCTATAGTTCAGATTAACTTAACAGCTGGAGAAATAAATTGATTGACAAAAAAAGGAAACTTTACACAAAATCTACAACAGAGACGGAATTTATACTCACTTCCAAAGGTTTCGTTAGCCATACAAAGGAAGGTGATTCCATCTGATCGGAGTATATGGAAGATGTATCGATCCTGAGAGAAACAAAGCCTCGATTCCGTTTCATCTGGAAGCTTCTCCAATATCCGCCGCGCCACCGCCCCGGTGTTCCCCGTCACGGCACTGAACTCCGCCAACACCGTTGTGCCTCTAGCCACAACCGCATACACTATCGCCATTTCTCTCTCACACAGATACGTATCGGAAAAGTGTAGAGATTCGAATTGTAGACTGGAAAGTCTACGGAGGTTTTGACAAGGACACACGAGATAGGACGGACATCAGCATTACCTGTCATATTATTTTCTAAGAACTACACTTTACACCCTTGAGTTCTTGTTTCTCACACATGACCCACTCTTACCCATCCTTTTACTACACCTTCGACTAAGAGAAAAAAGATTATTCAAATCCATTGTTTATGATAAATTATAATATTAATTAATCTTGATTAGTGAGCATGATTGTATATAAGCATATGTTAATTAATTTACAGAGAATTCTCTATGATTGCAAATGTTTCTTAATAAATATGGATATAGTGACTAATAAGGATTGTGGTGAAGTGATAAGTATTTCTTCATTTTTAATCGAAGATCTCGAATTCGAGTCTTTGAGTACATAGACACATTTATTAGGGAACGTTAAAGGCCTAAAGTTAGCAATTGCCGGAGAGTCCAATTACAAAGATAGATACCTAAAGTGGATATCTAACACCATGAATAAGCTCAATTTTTTATCCAATGGCTAGTTAAGCAAAGCATATACCAATAAAGAAATGTGCGTTTAAGCAAAAAAATAAATAAAGAAATGTGGGTGAGTGAATTCGCTAGAGTTAAGAAGAAGCGTTAATACTCCTTTTAATTCATAGTATTTTCAAGACGGTTGATGGGTAAATATTTTTAGATATGCTTAAGCCAAAACAATTACGTACTACTTACTCTGTCCATCTTTACTTGTTCATATTTGATTTAACATATTCTTTTAAAAATAATAAATATAAAGGTAAATTACTATATTACTAATATTATTTATATAAGTCATCTAAATATTAGAAAATGAATAGTAATAAATAATAATAAGAGCAAATAAATATATAAAATGATAAAGTATCTCTTAAATGTACATTTATTTTTAATACAGTTGACAAGTAAAAGTAAATGACTGGTGTAATATATTGGTTTTCAATAAGAATAAAGCCTACGATCATGTAGTTGGCAATATTAAATAGTTGAATAGTAACCTATGATCAACTTTTTAAGTTTTTTACCTTACCTATTTCTGGTGGGAATTTATGAATGGCATTAAAGACACTTGAAGCAAACTTATTCAAATTGTTCACTATTGCATTAAAGATTAACCTTGAAATGTTTATGATATATATCTTGCAAATGAAACAAAAGAGGCATGTAATGTACTAACTTTACATCCAAAAGCAAATATTAGCAACAATAATACCAAACATTAATTAAGTTGCAACACTTGCACATATACAACCACTTTTTGCAAGATAATACTAAACATGATCATTAACTACACAATATTCTACAGCCAAAACCTATATAAACATAAATAGACATATGTTTATATATTTAATATTCATATATAATACCATCGATCTCATACATGCCAAAGATATATCTGAGACCTTTCTTCCACGCAACATAATTATGACATAAATAGACCGATATGAGTGTACTTTAGAAAACTAATAAGTCTTGCATGCCATTTTCTCTAATATCATGAGAAGATTAGCTAGAACACACTAAAATACCATATACATACATACATACATACTTAAGGTATCCCAATGATGGGGAGAAAAGGGACATAGTAGCTAGTTGGTGCAATTCCCCATTCTTTTGGCACTGGTAGATCAATAGTCTTGGATGAACCAAACTCATCATGACATTTTCCATTATCATTCTTGTTGGATGAAGGGCATTTTGTGTAGAACTTTAAAGGGTTAGAGATAGTGTAGGAGTTATCATCTTCTTGAGACTTGACAATATTGGGGTCTGTTTCTTTTCTTGAAATAAAGAGCTGATTAGGACCTCCAAGGATCTTGGCATAGCATTTGTTAGTTGGAGTAAAAGGAAGTTTTGTTTCAAAAAAGCCATCTTCTTCTGTTGTAGCCATAGTCAATGTTTTCACCTGACTACACTTCACTGAAACCTTTATTCCTGATCAATTTTGAAAAGTATGGTCAAAATATAATACAATATTCAAGACTTAGCTTGCATTTGATCATAAATTTAGTCGAAACTTGAAAAAAAAAGAGTACTTGAAGTTAATTTTTTGAAAAATAGCTTTTCAATTGTGTTTGGACATACACTTTTTACTTGGAAAAAATTTGAAAGTTTGTGAGTGAAGGTGAAATTTCACCCAACATACCAGTTTTTGGAACTATTTTCTTGAAGACATATTTTCAAAAACTGACCAAATTTCATGAACAAACAATATTTTCAAATTTATGGACAGGGAGAGCTTAGTTTCAATTTTCCTAAAATTATATGATAGCATGCAATATCCTTTAAGCCTGTCACATTAATGTTTGGTATGATGAAAAACATAAAAATATATATATATATATATAAAATTACTTTTTGGTGTTATATTACTTACATTAAAGTGAGGAATATGACTTTTGTCACTTACATATAGAAAACATTTTTTTAACAAATAGTATAGCAACTCCTACCATGCATCACTTGTTTCACTCAACACTTAAACGTTGTTTCCAAAATCTAACTATGAAATATTAACATATATACAATTATTCAACGTTTAACATATGTCATCTAACTACTTTTCTACGGAAAAAAAGAAAAGTATTGATCAAAAAAGAAAATTTACCTGAGAGATCGATACGTTGACTGCAGTCTAGGCAAGTAACAGAACCCTTCAAGACATAGCAAGAAGAAAACTGAAGTGTGGCAAGAACCAAAGTGATGAAGAGTGCAAATCCCAGCTGATATGATGCCATTTGATTAAGCTTGTGTTAGGCAGCTATAGCATAAAGTATAGAGTGTAGTGAAAATAATTCTAAGTGGTGGATGTTGCAAAAAAGCATTGTAGTATAAATAAAGGAGCAAGTAGTTCATGAAAAACAATAAATGAAAGGGTCCACAAGGCCTGTTATGGTAGTTGGAAACACTGAATTAACAAATGCAGGCTCTTAAATTCTCTTTAGGTTTGCTGACTTACAGCTTCTTATATATAATAAAATATATAATATGTCACCAACTTTTTCACAAAATTTAAAGAGGATGAGTGTTTTCACAATTCGTTCAAGAGTCGGTGTAACATAATTTAAAGGTGATGTGACCAAATTTGAGTTATGATGATCAATTGCGCACCAACCCTCTGTGTTTTTTTCCCTAGGCGTTTGGCCATGCAATATTATATCACGATATGGTATTGTAAGATGAAATCAGCGATTGAACATGTGATTTTACGCTGATTTCATCTCATAATTTCATATCATGAGATGTGATTACATATTCTCCAAAAACCATATCATGAGATGTGATTCCATATTCTCAAAAAACCATGATATGAAATTATATGAGAATTTCATATCATGATTTGAGATATTTAAATACAAAATTTGATCCACAAGTTTATATTTTATTAAAACAACCCCATATTTATATCTACTAACCATTTATTTCATATGTAAATAAATTTTATAATCACATAATTACTTTTTAAAATTTATTATTCTCACCGACATAAAATTTATTATTGACCAACAAATGACTCAAAGTAACAATGTTGGTTTGTCTTCTCGGTCACATGATCGAGAAATACAAGTTCAACGTGAGAAAATTATTTGTACTATGTGGGAGGACTATACTATTGTACACTATAATTTATGTTCAATTTTTTTTATTATTAAATTAAAGTTAGATGAAACGATTACTTAAGTGGAAAACAAATAGCTTTGTAATAATTTATCATGCGATTTTATAATTTTTTTTTATTTGATAAGACTAAATAAACAATTGGGGTTATTTTAATAGTTTTACAACTTACGGGATTTTGTGTTTATGAGAGAATATACAACACAAAAATTGCATATCGCATGTCCAAACAAAACTTCAATTTCATCTCATGATTCCATATCATGATACCATATCATATATGATTCCATATCACATGGCCAAACGGGCCCTTAGACTAAAAGACATGGTGTTACGTTGCTAGTGTTGAACAATATATATATAAATCATGTTAATTATTTCATGCTACAGAAACTTAATTAGTCGTTTAAAAGAGAACGTCTATCTATTTCTTTTCTTTTTTCGATAATTTTTTAATTCTAACACATGTCATGTTGGGATAAAATAATATGAAAAAGGACTCCCTACTTTAGCAGCTTAATCAAATTATTAACGGCGATTTGAAGGACAGTTCGCGGCGCTTTTCGAGTCCGATATCGGTTCGGATATTTCCAACCAAAAGTACCACTTAGATTTCCCAAATCTAACATATATTACCAGGAAAAAAAGAAGTTGGAAAATAAAGAGAAGATGCCCAAAATGGATGAGAAGTAGTCCTTTCATGATTTTTATTGTGAAGGACCACAAGCTAGAGGCTCATGGATATACACCTGCTTTATATTGTGGAAATTCACTTTTGAATCTGAGAGTGAAGAATGTAAAGATCACCTTGCCCCCATTAACAAGACTACATGCTGCAAATATGGATTAACCAAAGATTTAGTATATCGACAATCTATTAAATTTTTCAATAAATTGAACACATGATACAGTGTTCCTACTAGACACTTTTGTTCCAACATAGGGAAAAACTTGTGTGTGTGTGTTGTTGGATTGTGTAGCTGAAACTAGTAGATACGTTCGTTTTTGGATAAGATTGAAACATGTGGTTGATGATAGCTGCAGGTATCGAAACTCCCAACCAGAAGGGTGGTTGATCTGACACCTTGAATTAATGTAGGAGGAGAGTAAGAATTACTAACTTTTATTTCACCCCCGCAGATACGTACAATGAAACCTTGAAGAACCATATTTAAAATACCATTTACTCCTATTTCTATACAAGGACGTTTATCTGAATTTTGAACTGCCTCTCATCTCACCTCATGAATACCTTTGTAAGAAGATTAATTTTACAAGGTAGCTGTGCGAGGCAACGTATTTTACACAAGGCGGGGGGGTAGGCATTTTACAAGACATTCAGGGTCAGAAAACACCTTTAGCCAAATTAACAACATGCTGACAACCCAAAACTATAATACCCTAACATCAAACTAGCTAACTTTATGGTCATTTCTTTTTTCAATTATATTCCATTTCCTACTAACTCATGTCCAACGTTTAGAGCAGTCAAACTAGTTCTTACACCCTCTAAAGCAATTTTTTTTAAAAAAAAAACACTAAAATCGCATTAATCAAGGAATGCGAACTGATAAATCATTTATGACCCAGCTTTATTTATGCACCTAGAAATACTTTTAAAGTTCACAAAGAAAAAATTACCTACAAAAATTTGATAACAATTTCGCGAGAATCTTGGACTTTAGGCTGGTCTTTCCTCCAATGGATCGAGAAGGCGGGGGGGGGGGGGGGGCATAGCTCAACCCACTCAAGATGTTCTCTTTCTTTTTTCTTTTGGGGAAGGGAGGGAAGAGGGTCATTGAAGAGTCAATTTGAAAGGTAATTACACTGAGCTTCTTAACTTTATCAGATAAACGTAGAAGCATACCGGGTAAACAAACCACAAAGAGAGGTTTTGAAAATTGAAGGCTTACATAATTTCCCTTCACTGTTGGGGGCATAACATGCTGCCAGGAATGCAGGAAATCCAGGCGTTCAACCAAACCCCAAAGGAGCACCTTATACTCACCTTTAAGTATACTGCTTTTAACATCTTTCAAATTAGATATATTCTCCATATGCAAAGATAACTGAATCATTTTCATGAAGAACCAAAAACTGATCGGAGACTCCAATGCTGAAGTACGTCACATAGTTAGGATTGAAGGAGGAGCAAGGTTATATTATATAGTTAGGACTGATGGAGTAGCAAGTTTACGTCACATAGTTAGGACTAAAGAGAAGCAAGTTTGTTGAGCTCCCTAGTTTCTCTATCCCCAAGATCTTACACTTATCCTGAGCTTTTTCACTACTAAACCCACAGACTTTGTCTTCTAATATGGTTACTATGGAGTTCTTATCTCTTCAAATATCAAAATTGTCACCCTTGTCCAGAAACTTTTATTAGACTTAGACTATGCAGTCATGTACATGGACTAATATATAATAATGCTGGACATTGCTACATGGACTATTATATTTGTAACAAATTTGATGTGCTGCTTTTCTTTTTAATATATCCGAAATATTTGTTGAAGCACACCGCCTTGACTAACCAAAGGTGATTCTACAACAAGTACATATTGCATCTTCCGAAAATCTAACCTTTTACATATCCAACATGAATTTCTCCACCACATTGGATTTGATAAGTAGTTGCTAAATTTGAATTTGACCAGTAGAATCATAGCGTGAGAAGCACAGCACAAGAATACTTGCCATTACAAAAGTTTGAGATGGAATAAGATGGGGAATATAGGAGGAAGTTGGAGGGACAATAGCACTTCACAGAAAGTAGATGTTGAAGATCTGATATATTTCTGGCAATGGACTGCTAGTAATAGTGCAAATCAGAAATTATAGTACCCAGAGGATGTCTATACAGTGGAAGAGAGAAGAACTATACCAGTGATTATTTTTTCTCCTACAAATCTTGGTATGTCAAAGGAACTTCCTCTCCATTTCAACCAAAATTTAGTAATGACTCGAGCGCAAATACCAAGCAACAAAGCACACTTAGATACAGTCTCTCCACTCTCTCACCTGTTGATTTCTAGTGTAGAAAGTAGAAACAATGCCTCAGCTATAATACTGTTCATTCTCCTTGTCACATTCATAGGCCTTCCAATATTACAAGTTTCACTCAACAGGGTTCACCAAATAAGGTGATTTTAAGATTATTAATGAGACCAGCACTTTTTACTGTAGAGCATTTGAGAAATATGCACACACCCAGCGGTGAAGGAAAGATTTTTGCCGGAGGGGTGTAAAGAATATTTAAAAAACGCCTAAAGCTAAAAAGATTAGAAACTGTGGTTAGCAGGAATTGAACCCGTTTAACACAGAGCTGAGCTTTTTTCGAATAAAAGAACCTCCTTGCTTCTACCTAGATGTGCCCATGCACACACCTTAAAGTGATAGCTACCAAAGAGAAAAAACATATTAGGTAACAGCCTTTATGCGACAGAAACAGCCAACAGGCTTTTCGCGCTCACAATAGCTCAAACAAGAAGAACTTTTTATTTAATGCTGGCACTTTGCTTTTAGTTAGAAGGAGAAACAGAGGCTGCTGACTGCAAATGCCATCCCTGCTTTTCTTTTCTTTCCTATTCAATCTATCTAATATAATTTGCTTTGATTAGCCCCATCTTAACTTTGGGCCCTTACATATTAGAGGACAGGCACCAAGCACCCTCCTAATTTAGACCTATAAGCCTGGAAATTGCAATTGGAAAGCTTTCACTTCCAGCTGACAAAGACAATCTTCTTGAATTCGCTACCGGTATTGCTAATGCCGATGACCGGGATGATAATTAAATAATGTGTCTCTCCATAAGGCATGCTCATTTAATTGACAACAGGCCAAGTTGGTGATGAAAGATGACAATGTAACTTATTACTGCGGATACTTTCTAATCATAGCTATCAGTCAGCCCTGATACTGATACAAATTCAAGAAGAAACCTAACAATTATCTCAAATTTACTAGAAAAGTCAGGTAAGAAAACCTGTCTTCTGCAAAATAGCATCTCGGACTTGCCTCAAATCCCTCCCTTTCAACTTCCTCCCAGCTCCCTCAACCACAGAGGATGCTAAAATTGGTGTTTTTCTCGACGCAACAATTTCATGCGGTGGTAACATCTCACCACCGTCCACATCATCATCAACATCGTCGAAATGCCTGCCTCTTCGGCGCGCTGCTGCTGACATTACAGGAACATTCACCGGTGCGGACTGGAGATATTTAACCCGATCCACTGGCGGCCGTTTAGGAATTGTAGGAATCAAACGAGCCGACGACGTGGAGGAAGACGAGGAGGATGAAGAAACGGAGAGCAAAGCCTGCGCGTGGGACTCAGACTCCGGCAACGCGGCTAGGATACCGAAATGTTTGTGGTGGGAGAGATGGTTAGGGGACCGATGATAATTAGCGTTCGGGCTTGTTGAAGTTGAAGGAGTGGAGTGATGAATTGCATCGGAGGATGCGTCAAAAATGTCGTGCTCGCTGAGCTCAACGTCGGCGGCGGAAGTCGAAGCAGAGGTGGATATAGAGGGTTGGGATTGTGAGTGAGCGGTGGAGAAAATGCCGAGGAGACGATCGGACGACGGCAATTTTCGCTGGTACCGGGAATTATTGGGTCCGCCGCCGCCTGAATCCATGGGGAAATTGCGGAGGCGAAATAGGGTTAAAGGGAAACACGGCTACGGAAGTAGTGGAGCTGCTTTTTGTGTTGTCGAAAAAAAATTCCTTCGCACTAATTACGTGACCATTTACATGCATCCTGAATATTCTTAATAATAGTAAAAGTATAGTATATATTCCCTCTTAATTACTCCTAATCTAACATTAATATGATTCATAAATACTATATAATATAAAATATGTGTTATCATATTGCTCCATCTTTGACTTTCTATATCCTTTTAGAAATATTTAAAAATTAGAAGGATGATTTACTATAATTTAAAAAAATAGAAGTTATTTAAATATTTAAATTAATAATATTTAATAACAAAAATAAAATTAAACACAAATTAATAAATCATTTTTTGAATTCCTAAATTGAACCAGTAAAATTAGACAACTTAGCTTTTAGGTGGAATATTTCTTCTTACCTTTCTTAGTATATCATATCGATTTTCCCATAATTTTTTGTTATTTTTTGAATTTCTGTTTTAGGTGTAATATATAGTTTACTTTTTTTGGTCAAAAAAGTAAAAAATAACTTGACTAAAACTCCATTCTTTTCAATCAAATAAAAAGTTCTACCCAAAATAATGAAATTCCATGCATATAATATAGATTTTATTTCGTCTTTAGCTGCATTGACTTCTACAAATATTGAATATATCTCTTACTATACTCACAAAATATGAATAAAAGTTATTGAATTCATGTGAACAACGTAATGAAATTTCTAAAATCGCTCATATTTAGACATCATTAAGTGCGAAGTATAAAATTACAAAGACGTTGATAGAAGATATTTTATTTTAACGTGAAATTTTCTGATGTAAGTTGAAATCGATGATCCTAATCGAATATAGGATATAAAAAAGTGAAGGTATAATTGCAAATACTAAGCTACAGATGAATACAAATTTTATTCGAGTATGAAATCGAGTATTCCTCATTTCATCTTATTGCTGGGAAATGTAAAAGAAATGTGTTACATTTACCTCATGAACATTACTACTCTCTTGCTACTACCTTTACATGATCATCTAAATCTGGAATTCAGAATTACATTTCCGATTTCTCTTTATTTTCATACTTGAAAGAGAGAGAAAAAGAGTAGCTTTAAACTTTTTTACGAGGAAACAGAAAAGAAATAAAAAATCAAGCACCCCTTTGTCTTTGTGCAGGAGCGGAGCTAGAGCTTCAGTTTCAAGTTCGTCCAAATGCTTTGGTCCAAACACTGTATTTATCTTAAATATTCATTAAATATGTAACTAAGTAACTCAGAAGGACTAGAAACCTGAACTAGTACGTTTTTAAATATTGGTTTCGCCTTTGCTTTTATGATATCTATTCTTTAATTCCTAGATTGTTTTCAGCAAGATTCAACAACCTCTCTTTTATCATCATCATCATTTGTTACATCTTCACTTGATTCATCTTCTTCAACATCCTCTGAATCATCATCATCATCATATTCTTCATCTTCATCGAAAAATTCGTCATCTGACTGAACAATATGTAGCTTCAATCGTCCATCTTCTCTACATGCATGCAAGAATTCCCATTCAGGAATTTTAACCTCCTTGAGAATAAACCTACCATTTTCTCTAAAAGATTCAAAACAAACACAGGGCTTTCCATTTCTACCAATGCAAGAAATTGGAGGAGGCAATAATGCCCCTTTTTTTGTTCTTGATCTAATTTTCGTATATTCATGACTTATAATCCCCTGATTATGAATGTTCGTTGATCTAATTTCTTCGTGTTCTTGATCATTCCCAATACTCAATGCATTCATAATATCCTCAACGTCATCACAGCTTTCAAATCCAAGGCTTTCTGTACATATTGAAAGACAATCTGAATTTCTTGAAGAAAAGCTATCACTATGCTTGTAATGTTTCTTCTGGCTGCTTGGTGGATAAATGGGGTCTCTGTTTTTCCCTTCAACCCCAGATTGGTGAATTGCTTCGAAAGAAAATGACGAATTATTATAAGAAGAACATGTCGATGATGATGATGATGACGAGGAGGTGGTAGACAATGGAGGGAGATTATTAGAAGAAAACGATGAAACAGAATGTAATTCATCAAAAATCTCCGTAAAGGATGAATCTTTATTTGGTTTTGTTGATTTAATCTGATTCCATGAAGAAGTGGAATCAAGAATTGTTGAATTTTCTGGGAATGGTTTGTCAAAGAAGTGTTTTAGGCCTCCACAGGTAACCATATTATTATTATTATCAACTCTTAGACAGAGTTGTTGTTAATTGGGCTAATAACTGAGAAGCAACAAAAAGAGTTTACTTCAGGTTGGTTTTTCTAATGGTGAAATATAGGCTATTCTTGTGGTGAGGAAGGGAAGATAAGGTGTCAATGACTTGGTTTATTTAATTTATATCCAATTTAAATCCTTAATTATCTTACTAAAAATTAGACTTTTTAAAATCGTCCCAATTATTTCGATGATAAGTGAGTTACGTTGGAGCTGAGTTGGAGATATACATACACAACACAGGATGAGAATGGGATTGTTGATAAAGTCAAGAGAAATGTGATGTTTATTAATAGTTCCTGTTTTACAGGAGTACCTCTCAATTTAGAAATGAAATAAATTTTGGTGGTCTCCATTGTATATTTAAAACTGTAAAATTATTGAAACAAAGGAGTACATTAATATCACATGTGGAATCATTTTACTTGTCAATTTAGGCAAGACAAAAGCAATTGTCATTTCTTTATTGTTGGTTAAGGAACTGCACCAGAAAAAAATCAGTTTGTTATGCGAAGACAGACAAACAGGCTTTTTAAAAGGCTAAGTGGCCTTTTGTAATTTTTGCATTAATAAATCAGTATGCGGAATAAAGTATTTTTGACGTGATTTCCAGATGTAGACAATTATCCATTCCATTAAATTATGAATAAAATAACATTATCTCGCTTCATGTTTGATTGATTTTGATTCCGACACTAAAAAAGATTTTTGAATGTGATTTTAAATTAAAAATTTGTAGAAATCAAGTGTTTATAGCTTAGAAGCATTTTTTTTCAATTTACCTAAACACTAAAAAAATGTTTAAAAGTTATTTTACTCACTTAAAATATGGAAGGGTTAAAAAGGATCAAAATGCTCTCATTTTATAGTTTGGTCTAAAATGTCAGTGCCATCAATAGTTCAAGAGTATTTTTAGACCAAACTATTAATTAAGTGCATTTTTTTTGTTCAACTTTGCACAATTCAAGGACCTTTTTTAAATCCTTTTCCTGCTTAAAATTAACCAATTTAACCCCGATTTTTTAATCTTATGATTTTAAATATGTCACGTAGAAAGGTAGAATTGAAAATTTATTGAAAAAATGAATTAAAATAAAAGTAAGACAAATAAATTAGAACGGTGTAGTTTCATATTTGAGATTAACTTCTCTTTACTAATAGTGGTCAAGAAAATTACACCGTGAATTTATTTTTAGAAATATCTATTTCTTTTAATGTGTTAACGTATATTTTATAAAGAAATTACTCTCTCTGGTCCTCGTGTAACCGAACACCAAATTCTTGGAGTAACAACATCTCTTGCTGCATTTTTTTTCCTCCTTTATTCTTCTCTCTGTTACGGTCTTTCCCCTACGCCTGTACCATATTCCCTATAACGTTTATCTAAATTATGAAATATATTACTAGTATTTTCTTCTTGCTTATAGAATATAATAAATATTTGAAGACAGCAGTACTAGTATTGTTGATACTTTTGCCCCCGACACAAGTCTCCCAATTAGTTTTTTAATAGACTTATTCAGCCAGTTGTTTAATCACAAACCACTGAAGAGTGAAGAGTGAAGATCCATTATCATTTAAAAAGGCCTCTCTTTGTCTTACTCTCTCGATTACAATTTACACACATATTCACTTTCCATACTGCTTCCTATTTTTATTTTTTATTTTTGTAAAATAAATGGAGTGACCAGGGCTGGGTAGAGGGTCAAGCCACTAAAGCAAGAGCTTTAAGGAGGAAAGTGAGATTTTTGACCTATAGTTAAAAGGATGAGGTCTCCTAGCTATAATAGATTTATAGTTTAATTTATTTTTCTTTTAAATTACATGTGACAGGAAAAAAGTAAAATTGAATTTAGGCCACTAATTTTATTGAGTACGACTTGTTTGATAGGTTGTTGAGAAATGGGTGAGGAGATGAAGCGAGCAGCTCAAACTGGGGATATTGATGCCTTCTACAAAATCATTGAAGATAACCCATCAATTCTTAAACAGATTGATGCGTTAGAATTTGTAGAAACCCCTTTGCACACAGCTGCATCTTTTGAGCAGACTGATTTTGCCATTGAAATGTTGAGCGCTGGACCCCAGGGGATATAGCCCTCTGCATCTAGCACTGAGTAATGAACAGGAAGACACTGTGAAGCTGCTCATAAGATATGATCCTAAACTCATTCAAGTCAGAAGCAGGGAGAGGATAACGCCGCTGCATTATGTAGCTGCTCAAACTGACAATGTGGATCTTCTCAGCGAGTTTCTCCTAGCTTGCCCCACCGCCATCAAGGAAGTGACCATTCGAGGAGAAACAGCTGTGCATCTCGCTGTGTTAAGAAACAAGTTTCCGGCTTTTAAAGTTCTAATGGGTTGGCTCTACCGGACTGGCAACAAAAAAATATTGGACTGGAAAGATAACGAGGGATCCACAGTGTTGCACATTGCTGCAGAAACAGGTCAAGTTGAGGTATGTTTCTTCAAGTCATCGATCAGTATATAGTATATTTTATGACATTAATATTCATTTTTGCTTACTAGATGATTTGAGTTTATTAATACCATACTGGTTTATGATAATTATCTGCAGGTTGTAAAGATTTTAGCAAAGGAACTAGTGCGTCTTAATATTAGGAATCGGTATGATATGACAGCTCTTGCTATTGTTGAGGAGCGAATAACATATTCACAGAATCATTCAGCTTTCAGTGTTGATTCGAACCAAGAATATGTGAATATTCAGAAAATATTGCATAAAGTTGGTGCCATGAAGACATCAGACCTTCCTAAGAACTTTAAAATGGCGGATCTTCTTCAAGAAATTCCACGTTTCATTGACCTCGCCAACGTAATCCGATCACAAGCAGCAGTAATTGTGGATTCGCGTAAAGGATTAACAGAGGATGTGCGAAATGCATACCTGGTAGTTACTATTCTACTTGTAACAGCTAGTTTTCAAGCTGTTCTCAGTCCTCCAGGTGGCGGTTGGGAAAGGAAAGACGACGACACTAATAACAATAATACGTCTCTGGTTATGCCTGCCAACACAACCAATTCCTCAATCCAGAGACAATCATTTCCAATCAGAAGGGGCCCAAAAAAAGGTCTTTTTTACCCATTTTTAATAATGAATTCGATTACTTTTGCTCTTGCTATCGCTCTCACTTTTACGCTGCTGCCCTTCCATGTTGAAACCACTGCATTGTTGCTATGGTCACTTCTGTTTCTCATGGTCACCTATTCAATGTCTGTTATGCTCATATCACCAAATGACAACGACCAGTGGATTATCGCGGCTGCATGTTCATTTGCTGCACTATTCGGAGTTCATGGATTTTTTATTTTTTCCAAGCTTACACAAGTTGCTGGATCAAGGTGGATACCAATACCCTGTGTTACCAATTTTATTCGCCGGACACGTACTAGAGATCTTAAAAGATATCACATGGAAAGGAAAGTGCGTCTAAGCAAATACAAGAGTACTTGATTTCAGATCAGCACCAACAATTACTCTTTTGTGTCTCAAAAATAATACCTACAGTTTTCTCTTCAGTTTAAAGTATGTTTCGTGTCTCTTTGTTTTCTTATGTTTAATTTCATTGATTTGCTACAATGCTTGAATATTTTAACACTTCTATTCTGATCATATCACTTCATTTATATAGAGGTACATTTAATATCATATAACATCAAAATATCAAATTCTTCAAAAATCTAGATTCGATTCGAGAACTTCATATCATATTTTCACATTTTTCAAAAATTGACTCACAAGTTTATATTTTATTAAAAAAAAAAACACCATTATATCTACCAACCATTTATTTCATACGTAACCATTAATCTCACAAACATAAATATTATTTGTTTACGCAAAGCTATCTCATTTACAACACATGTCTCTCTAGCTGTTCTTTATAAAAATATTATTATTGTTGGTAGATATTAGTCATGATCAAATGGATCCTTAGATTGAAACAGAGAGCATCTCTTAATCAATAAACATCTTCATCTTATTTTATGATTTAAACTATGATAAATTAGTATAGTTTGATATAAACACCAGGTGTGGATAACATTTTTACAAAGTGAAACATAATAACCATTCATTACACGAACATCATTCAAACACAATAGGTTCCTGATTGAACCCTACACCTGACCACCATTCTCAAGAACAGAACAATTTTCCAACTGCTTCAACTCAAACAAGAACATACACATAATTTGAGATATGAATAACTAGTAAAGATCAGATTCCTTGTGAGTATGAATCACACAATCTGAGGTTGGGTAAGAAACACATGTGAGCACATAGCCCTCCTCCATTTGATTATCATCCAGAAAAGATCCATCAGATTGATCAACAGACCCTGATACAATCTTCCCAGCGCATGTTGAGCATGCACCTGCCCTGCAAGAATAAGGGAGTTCCACTCCAGCATTTTCAGCTGCATCGAGTATGTAAGTATCTGAAGTTGCCTCGAATTCATGCTCAACACCCTCTGGACAAACCAACTTGACCTTGTAAACTGCTGATGCTCTAAAGCCAGAGCTAGCTTTCAATCCAAATCCCTTAGAAATGCTCCTTACAGATCCCAGAGACGCTGGGCTCTTGATGAAGACGCTCTTTCTTAGGGTCTGAGGAGCAGTTTTTACCATACAGGTCGTAGGAAGTCCGATAGTAGACATGTTTACCTGATTAAAAAAAGGAACTGTTTAACTACTCATAACACCTAGGGTTCAAAGAATAATATGTTTGTTGGTGCTCAAAATTGATCATTGCCCTCTGCAAAACAACTGTGTATAAATCGAAGTATTCAACTATTGAATCCAAATGAAACTTGAATTTTTTATCTTCACTGATTAATGTTGCATATCAGGTAAAACGAAGTTACTGACAGGGTTTACATTTCTGATTTGTCTAACAAAATGGTTGTAATCAATTTAACATTCAATAATGTATGCCCTGTGCTTAAAAAAAAAAAAGAAATGTTTGGAGTGACCTACTACACACTTTTAAAAAAAATACTACTAAAACCAGAAAGCGAAAGAGCTCTCTTCCATCTGCTGTCATCCGGGTAAACAAGAAGAAAGGCATCAAATTGAATTTAGAATGAAAGAATAACGAAAAGTTCTAAACACCCAAAAAATTCAGCTAACACTAAAGATCCAACCTTTAATCCTACACCATTAATTTCACCAAGAAATGAAAAGGGAAAATTGACAATTTCAACAGCCAACACCAAAACAAGACAAACCCAATATTCAGAACTCATCTACAAAGCATAACACGAAATATTCACATGAAACACACAAGTCCAGAATCCTAACCAAAAAGTTCAATTTTTTTTTTTATAAAGAAGGAAGAATTCTTACTGTTGGAGAAGGAAGGCGGCGTAATCGAGGTGGAGCAGAGAGGCACAAGAAGAGCAAGCAAAGCAATGCGTTGGCACTCTCAAAATGTCACCTTCAACAAATATATATATAGAGAGAGAGTTATGTTTTGGGGATTTTGCCGAATTAAGATACAGCCCATGGGTTTCTCTTTCCCGTATTCGAATTACAATGGGCCTATTTCTCCTTGCTACTCGTTTTGTACTCTTCTCAAAGTACCTAATTCTTTTGATTCCATTCTCCACCAAATCCAGAAAGGCTCATTGGACCTAAGTAAGACTAAAAAAAGTCCATTTGGTTCGACTTAGCTGTGCACCTCAATTAATTATTACTCCGTTGATAACCTAGATGTCAACTTAGAGAATGAAACACTCTTAAGGACTCGAACGACACCACAAGCTTCATCGATCTTAAACTTACTTCAATTTCTGATAGCTCTTGTGATGCTTCATGACTATTGCAGTTCGATTCCTTGAAATATTATATCATCTTTCACATTTCTTTGGTTTAATAATTAGTTCACTTCATCTAAAGGGGACTTCACCAATTTCCATATAGGCTAAGCACTAAGGTTAATTTTGAAGAGGCAATTAAAATAAAACCTGCAGAATATAGTTCCCCTTTTCAATGTACGCTGCTTGAGCAAAATCTTTTTTTCAAGTGTCTTTTCGAGAAAATAAAAAATACTTTATGTACCGTGAGATTGTTATCGAAGACAATAGTGTTTTATGTTTCGTTGTCAAAACGGCAGAGTAAAGTTATGCACTGCAATTGGCATCTTGGATGCTACTGGGATCAATGATAACATCATTAACGAAGAAAAGTTGAAAGCAAACATACCCCTAAAAGTTTTATAGATATTCAAAACAAGATAACAAAAATCACAACTACCCAAAATTTTCAAGTGTCAATAGCTCACAACCAGAAAGCCAGAAAATTTCCAACAGAAACAGAAAATCTTCTTAAAAGATACGTTGTGTTTTTCCCATGGTGCTCTTCAAGTACAAGCACCTAACCTGTATTGACAAAAAAATTGCGGAAATTAGAACTAGAATTAAAGGATTCAGTCCAGGAAAATATTGAAAAAGTTGAATAGAGATGGTTTAACTAGGACTCCGAGATGTACTCACATTTTGCCAATTCTTCTTCAGCAATGAAACAAGAAAGTTGACACTCATTTGCACATTCTGGAAGATCTGCTTCTCCTCCATATCCATGTTTCCAACAGCAACACCCATGCAGAGCACCTTTTTCAATTGAAACTTGATTGTGGCCTTGGTCTCATTAACCTTGGATTCAAGAGACTCTTGGTGGGAAACAAGGGTGGGAAACTTACCTGCATTTACAAATGGAAAAAGCAACTCAGACATGAATTTGAAGGTGAACATACAAGCTGGACTAAACTACCATGAGCACATGATTGCTACTGAAAGAAAGTGACAAATGCAACATTCTACTGGATGAACAAAAGCAGCAAACCTAAACAAACAGCATATAAAGAATTAAGATAATCTATGAACTTGCCTGCCTTGTTCAGACCAGGCCCCAACAAACGAGGAATCTGCTTAATGACAGATTCGGAAGCCAAGAAAGCATGGTATTTCTTTGCAAGCTTCTTGACCAGTTTCTTGTTCTTGTTGAGCTTCTTCAAGCCTTCAACATCCATGTACTCCAAACCAATCTTCTCTGCCTGCAAACATAGAGCACAAAGTTTTAATCATCTTTCTAAACAAAGAAACTGACGACTCGGGAATGGTACAAACAGAAGTAGTTTTTTGCCAATCTGAACTTAACAGCCACAAAATTTCCAAGACAACAGCAATAATAAAGACTAAATTCACATTAAAGTGTCATGTCTGGTGGGCTATGAAGAAGATTTCTGATGTTCCAGGCTTGTTTAATGAGAAATTAATCATCTCATTGTTAAGCTAAATCTTACAAGCAAGAGATATATATCAGTAAAAGTCTTTCAGCAATAGAATAGTTCTTGACATAGTCAGCTCAGTTAATGGCACTAGTAAACATATTCATTAGGATTACCTCCCCAACATGCTGAGCATCTCCAAGCATACAGATCTTCATCTTAGGGCGAGGAATGTGTGGTAACTTAACTGATCCACTGAAACGCTTGTCCTTTTGGGGATCATAGTTCTTCAGTCCAATCTGGAGCTCAATGGTCTCACTGAACTTCCTTTTCTTCTCTGCTGAATCATTCTTAATCACAGAGATGGCTTCTCTGAGAGCCTCACTCTGAAGCTTACTGTAAAAGAATCAAAATCAAACTAATTAACTACAGGTAATCAGCAATACCTTTATATGGACATCAGAAGGGGTTGTTTAATAATTGAGACAATATAACTAAACTAAAAGAATATGTCCTATAGTAAAAAATATAATGAAAATGAAAAATCAATCAAAACTATTATTTCAATGCTGAACACGGAAGGAGCATTTGTCAAGCATTTTGATTAACACGAACTCCACAATCATAATACTTGTGGTTTTCACATAAAAGACAAGCTATTTGAAAGAAAGGATTTATAATCAGGGATTCTATCACTTAACTAAGGAAATAATAAAAAAAAGTTGACTAATTAACCACCTATAATATCATTTTCGGAGATTAATCGTCAAAGGAAATCAAAATAATGCCAAATAATACAAGCTTGTTACAACCAATATTCTAAGAGTATGAAGGCTTCAGATGCGTAGTATTACTGCCCTTTTTAAAACATAAATATGAAGAAAAATTGCATAGAAAAGTAAATCAACTATTTATAATCAGCAAATCAATGCAGAAAATTGATTATCAAAGCAAAACATAGAAGATATAACAGAGAGTGAAATAACTAACATATTGAAAAGAAAAAAAACAGAAATTTGGAGCTTGATTCATACCTCATGGCTCAAAAAGCTCTCCTTCTCTGTCAAACTCACCTGTCAATCAAAAAAAAAACTTTCAGATATATCACGGCAGCTAAAGAAAACAAATCATCATTTTCACGTCTTCACAACAACCAAAGGAAACAAAATCTTACAATCGTATACACAAATTGAACCTAGAAATGATGCATCAATGTGAATGAGAAAGAGGTAGATGAGAAAGGTACCTGTAAGAGAAAACCCTCGATTTAGGGTTTGTAAGCCGATGATGAGAAGTCCAGTGGATTGCTATCTTTTTAAATATAGGGCTCTAAATGGGCCGGGCTCGGGCAGGATGGAATAGAAACTGGGCCATAGCACGCAGGCCCTTTAAATGGAAGAAAGTCAACAGCCCAGTTCTTAATTTGGTTTGGTTCGTTTCAATTCAATATTTTTGGTTTAATATTACTCAATTAATGGTCATTTGTCACATTTTAAACTTATTTCTAGCTTGGTGCATTTTCTAGTTTTTCATGAACATAGCTAGGTTTCAGAAAATTAAGAGATGGAAGTGATAATCACGTTCTCTTTTGAACGTGGAAGTAAAATATGTTTATCATTGAATAGGGAAATTAACATGAAAAGATTGTTATATTGTCACATTTAACTCTTCTTGTTAAGAATAAATAATTATAATTCACCATTATCTATTAATTAATGTTTTTCATGATCACAACTTACAATTGGACTATATTGTATATAACATTGACCTTAAGAGCATACGGTAGCTAGGTGAGAGCAAGGGGTTCATCTGAATCTCCTTCAAATAAAAATTACATTGATGGTAGATGTTAGATTTCTTTGGCTTTTTGTGTATTCACTTCTTCATATTTTGATTTCTTTAATGAAAATTTTGACTTTAGAGTTGAAGAGTCCCAAACATTCGATAACCTCGAAACTATATATCTATATTTGACATCCCTAGAAACAAAGCTAAAGTGGTTCTAGTAGTTGATTTGGGATGCACATGTAGATATTTAGTGAGTTCACCTGATTTTTTTGGTTGATTCTTTTTATAAAAGAATAACAAAAAATCAGACAGCTCCACAGTAATTGATCACGTCAATAATACTTGAAGGGAAAAAAAATCAACATGTCTATAATAATTAAGATAATGGTGCCCCTTGCATTTACAATTCTTGGGTCTGTTCTACAGAAAAAGAGTCATCTCACAAGAGATAGTCCAAAATTAATGCAGGTAAGGAGATTCTAGACCAATTTAAAATCATGGGTAAAATAAAAATATTGCTCAAACAATTGGACCAATGTATGACAACCGGACGTGTTTGGTCGTGCAATTTTTTTGCAAACATATGCTAGCGTTTGGCCATAGATTTCCAAATATTATTAGGTAAAAATTTGGGTGAAATTTCACATGTGTTGGCCATATAGTATTTGGGAAACATATTTCACTTTTTTAGAAAAATATGATTTATACCCATAAGTTTTAAAAACTATCAAAACTAACCATAAATTTGTATTACAAGTCAATTGGATCTTCGTTGCAACAAATAACAAGTAGTGTCTATGACACTGGAGCAATGTGGTAGTTTGGAGTGAGTGCAACAAGCATAATTCCATATATCGTGAAGTAGACAAAACACATGACTTTGTTACCTTGAGCCGATTGTTCATCATTTTCACCAACAATCATATCATCACTTTCATATTCGCTAAATATTTTCATCACTATTTTGGTGTTCACGTAAAACATAATGTAATACAACACAAACAATTACTATAGAGGGTGTTTTTGTAAAAAATAAAAGTGGTGTAAAATTTCAATTTTTAAAAGATCCCAAATAATGAGATTTGGCCCAAATATTAGAAAAAACTAGTATTTGGAAATTTTGGGTATTTGCCAAATAATGACAAATTGTATGGACAAATACTATTTGCCAAATTTCCCCCCAAATATTACTCGTGAAATCTATGACCAAACTGGACCTTACTCAATTACAATAGCTAATAATCAAGTTGATACTTGAATGACATAATTATACTAATTATAATTGAAGTAATGAAAGTAAGATAACAAACATATTCGAGAAGAAGGAGATGACATACTAGAACATGAAAAGGAGCATGTTATATCTACTTAAATTCCATACATAATCACGAAATTCGATGTTGAGCTGTTTGCGGTTTGACACTACACTACAGTTTTTCGAAGTAAGAATATGAACATGGCTATTATGGTTACTTTCAATGGATAAACAAATTATGATATCGTTGGCATGTAGTATGAGGATTTAGTTAGGGTGGGCGAAAGTAAAAAAAGTTTTAAAATAAAAATATATCACATTAATAACATGTTCTCATTACTTCCAAAAAACCAGGTGCAGTGTTGAACCGGTCTAATGGGTGGAAATAAAAAGTGAGTTGCAGAGGTAGAAAGTAGAATCCCCTGCAATGGAGAGAAGCAGAGGTGGGCTTTTTGAAGGACTTTACAGAGTGCTTATGCGTCGCAACTCTGTCTATGTAACATTCGTAATCGCTGGCGCTTTACTTGGTGAACGGGTTTGTCTGTTTTCTTTATCTTATTCATATTTGTGTTTCTGTTTCGGATCATTATTTGGGGATGTTTAAAATTGGATCTGAATCGATGTTAATGCAATTGTTTATCAGATTCAGATGGGTTACGAGTTTGATTTCATTTTTTTTATTTTTACTATTTGCAGGCAGTAGATTATGGGGTTCATAAGGTCTGGGAGAACAACAATATTGGGGTATGTTATTTCTTGTCATAATTTGTCATCCGTTATTATACATACAATAAAAATAATTTTGTAATTTTTTAACGAAGTACCTTGTGTGCGCCTCTGCTCAAAATGTTCCTATTAAATATTTAGCTCTCAAGGTAAAGCATGATGAGCATTTTTTTCATTCTAGTATATTTGTTTGGGTCCTAGGCCATGTTTTTCCCCTCTTGCTCATAGTTCTTCTCATTATGTTCTTGTTGGGCTTGTGTCAATCTTGTAACTAATGTTTTTTTTTTTTGTTACTGAAATACAGAAGCGTTATGAGGATATTTCAGTTTTGGGACAGCGACCATCTGAATAGATTTGCAGTAATGGATGCTCATTTGAGTTGAAGACCAACATTTCAATTATTTTTACTTGGCCATGCTGGTCATGGCTAATTATTTGATATCTGCATTGCCTTAAGGAAAAAATTTCAGTGAAACTGTTTCCATTTCCATGGCAACAAAGAGTATCCTTCAAGATTTTGTATCCCAGCAACTCTCTAGTTTTTCACCATGCTTAAAAGAATAAAAGGAGAATTCTCCGACATTTCAACTTCTCTAGTTAGTGTCAAATGTGAATTTTAAATATGAGAAACTTCTTTATTTCGCGCTAATTAATACTGTTATTAAGATCTTTGTGGAACGAAAAACCCTACCCGTCCAATGCCTCTGGAGTTGTCTCGTGTTTGCAGTTAAAAATATGCAGATTTCATCGTATTTTCACATAGTTGATACATAGAATGGTCCATAAACTGCAAAACAACTTTCATCGAATCAAACCTGAGTTGTATAGGAACAAACAGTAAGCAGAATGAACTACCAGGCAGTGCTAAAATTCTCAATTGATGTTAACAACAAGAACCGATTAAATGTAACTACATAGTTTCATCCAACATCTGATCATATTTCCAGCTCATATAGGGATGCCAAGTAGTTTCCAAATTTGACATCAACTTCTGCTAGTTTTGCTGTCAATGCTCAGTTGTCCAAAAACAAGAGACATTTTCTCATTTTGTTTAGCTTTCTCATATCACTGAAGAGGTTGTGAAATGATATCAAGCACGAAAATGGAAACCCTTTTAGTTCAACTTCACAGATCACTGAAGAGTGCTTCAAATAGTAGCAATCAAGGAGGACTCTCATTCACTTTTTACAGCATGGTAGATGTGACGGGTAAACATCAAGGAAGAGCGGAGACTGATTGTTCCAAGCATAAGGAAAAATGCATAGCATATGCAAGTGTTGTATACAAAGAAGATGGTAGTCTGGAAGACCCCACTCATGTTTGATTTGCAATAGAAGTATATGGAGTAGGCAAACATAAATACAGCAGTTGAGCCCCCACGGAAAATAGACCTGCATCAAATACCATATTTATCAGTCTTCTGAGGCAGCCACAGATATTGTGAAAGAACTAGCAAATAGAACAAATGAATCGCAAGCAGCAACTTAGTAAATTAAGTAACATTGCAGTTATCTCTTAGATATCTGCTAATAATTGTTTGGGAATCTAAAATTCTTTTGAATCTGGGTTCACATTTTGCTCAACATATATATTGATCCAGTATAAATGAGGGTTACAACTTATGCATAAATGCGCGAGAACAATTACACCAGACTCACTAAGTAAAACTTATTTGGCACTCCCAATTTAACAAATGTAAAGAGTTCAATTTCATTACCAGAATGACAACTACAATGAATGTCAAAACTGATGTTAACTGTAATTGATGAACAGAAAAAAGTGGGATTTGGTCCCGAAGAGAGGGACCTCATGTTAACTCTAGTGTCCTGCATCTGGTGTTCAACAATACTCAGTTGTCATTCAGTTCTTCTGTAACACACAATACCTCTCACGGTACCATGATTCCATGAGTCACTCATTAATGTCATAAAGTTGCAAGAAAGTAGCTTATGCAGTGACGAAAATAAAACGGGCGAGATATGTATGCATGCAGTCCCTAGGAATGATTAGTACAAAGAAATATCCAAATTTATGTATGCATGCAGTCCCTAGGAATGATTAGTACAAAGAAACATCCAAATTGATACATACCGCCACCACCATTCATGGTCTTCCACTGTCAGCTGAATATATGTCAAACCGATGCTTAGGGTCACAGTGAGCAGCATGAGGATTATAAACATAAAGAACAGAATACCAGGAAGAGTCGAAATCTTGTAGCCCCAAAGGGTAGAATACAACTGGTGTAACTCAACAACAATGGCACTGAAAGGTAGAAGACCAGCCAAAAACATTTGACCAGGTGTCTTCCTGTACCAAGCTAGAGATGGAATCTCTCTTGCGCACTTCTTTGTGGCAGATGGTGCTTGAAACTCAGACCTACGCCGATTGCCAATTATCCCGCCAAGAGCAAGCAGTGGAATAGCGACGAGGGTATAAACAAGAATAATGACAAGTATGGTGCCAAATGGAATAGCTAAAGTAGCCCCAAATGATACCGTGACTGAATTAAGGAAAAACTGCATTAAGAGGAATGGTCCAAGAAAGAGCACCGTGGAGAAAGTAACGCTCCTTTCCTAGAGGTAAAAAAAAAAAGTTTTCAGTTCCTGGATAAACAATAATTACAGATATAAAAAGTTGGAAGGAAGTTGATAAAAGTTACCCATCCAGTTTCAATAAATTGACAGTAGAAGGAGGCAGAGCTGTATCCTGCAACTGCAGATGTAAGGGTATAAATTATGACCAAGGATGTCAAGAGAGTTCCACGATTATATGGATATAAGACACCAAGAAACGCCAATATAAATAAGCAGCAGAACCTGTATGGGCATCAGAAACAGTTAACCAAAGGCAAAAAATGTGCCTTGCATGATCAATTAGGTAATACAAATAGGTCGAACATAATCATGCAATAAGGACCACCCATACATGGAAAATATTGGCAGATGATGGAAACCACACCGGTTACTTTGAAAATACAAAAAAGAGCTTAAATGGAAAAGGTTTTACATTATCTTTAGAATTCATAAATTGAAGGTTTTACATTATCTTGTTAGAAGACCTTCTGTCCTATATATTTTCAAAATATCTAAGCTCTAATTGTCAAGGTTAAACAATATTTCCTCGAAGCTATCTTCCCATTATATCTTAATTTTACCGGAACACTACCGAATATAGAAGATAAATGATGCTGATACTGATACCATGGAACATAATGGTGGGATGACATTGTCACAAAATGACAAAGGCATTGTAAGAGTTTGTTGGCAAGGGCAGAGGATGGATAAAAGAAGGAAGCATATGTTGAAGTCTACTGCATAACGTATCATGTGGATAGTCTGGTTGGAAAGAAGTCAAGAACAAAAGATGCTTCCAAGGAAGAAAGCAAAACTTCTCTTTTGAGGAGAATAGATGTCCTCAACATCTTTTTGGGGTGATAGTGTTGAATATATGATGAGGTTCATATTTTTCTTATTACTGGATCTTATAGGGTATGTAATACAATATCCTAAACTAGAGCCTAGAGATACAATATCTTGAGCTAAATATCAAACAGACAATCTTATGCACAGAGATTCTCTTCCAGTGAGATGTCAGAAAAGAAATAGAAGATGGCTCGCTTGTCATATGAACGGCATAAACAACTATGAAATCATCTGACAAATAAATAAGAGCTAACTTACAAGGTCAAAAGCTGGGTACCAGCACCAATAACTGCACAGAGCAGAGGCATGTTTGGTGGACATCTAAAAACGTCACCGTGAAGGTACTTCCAACCCACTTCTTTGTCTTCCTCTTCATCACCGCTAGACCATCTGCATATCAGCCATACAAATATGATGACAGTGCTTTCAGCTTCAGATGCTTTCATGTACATAGATTATTTGTTGTGCCATTAGCAAAAATGGGCATGATATGAGGCTTACTTTCTCAGATCATTCTTAAGGCGCTGCATCATACTCACAGCAAAAAAGGTCATCAGCAGAACAGAAATAACAATTGAATTAATTATCGAGAACCAATGAATTTGATGGTTCACTGGTTTTGCCGAAGCCCTAGAGTATCTTGCCATTCTATTCTTGAATGGAATTGATGTTTCATTCCAGCGTACATTATATGTGAAGGTAATATTTAGGTCTATATCCTCTGTTATATCCACAACATTGCTTGGATCACTGAGAGCATGTATTTCTATGACTTGGTTTCCATTGTAAAGAACATCAAATTGGACATGCTTAAAGAGAAAATACTTGGGGCCCTTTCCATCCAGGGTCCAGAGTTCATCTTCAATTTTCCCAACAAATCCCCAGAAAGGGAGATCATCAAAGTACATCTGGTAGTAGTAATCTTTAATAATAGCAGCCCTGAACTTTGAGACATCATTTTGATCAAGCTTCTTGTGGCACAGGACAACCCCATCTTTCTCCGCTCCAAATTTCAACTGATACAAGGTATTGGTTAAACGGTCACCATTCAGAACTTCCCCAAGGGATTCCTTTTCCGGAAGCAGCTCACCTGTCAAGTGAAACTAAAAGGTCAAAATTCTTGAAGGTAAGTAGTTAAATTTTTAATATAACTAACTCTAGAGATTACCAGTCATACAAATACAAAATATATAAAACAGTACAATATTTTTATCACAGTTTGCTCTTGGTCTAACCAGTCATAATATTTTGAGTTTATGTAAGTATATAAGAAGCAGAAGAAGTTAATAGTATAGTGTGTATGTATAATACAACAACATACCCAGAATAATCCCACAAGTGGAGTCTGGGGAAGATAGGATGTATGCAAACCTTACCTCTACCTTTGTGGGGATAAAGAGGTTGTTTCCAATAGACCCTCAGCTCAACAGAAAGAAAAACGAAGCATGTTTGCAAGAAAATATGACAGTACCCTAGCAAGATACAAAGCAACTATGCCTAACTAGTTGGGGTAGACTATACTAGTGCAAGCTAAAAATGCTGACCTGGCTGGCAGAATGGCAGGTCATAATATTGGTATGTTTCACTGCAAAAGAATAACAGATATAGGAATATCAGGATTATCTGCTGCAAGGGTGAAAACTCAGACATTTTACTTTTTCAGCAAGCAAGAAAACTTGGATATTTTACATTAAGGTCCTTCCTTTGATGATTCAAATTACATAGAAGTTTGCACAAGAATGAGAAAGACCCTCTAAGGATTACTAAAGCCACTAAAAAAAATAACAATGGAAGATGCAGAGTTGGAGAGCTTCCATCTAAAAAGAAAGAAAAGTATCCATATATGTTGGTTTATGTTGGGATTTGAAAAGGGAAAATATTTCATGCTTAGAAAAAGATAAGAGAATGGGGACCTTGAAACTTGAAGACATTTAAATGCAGATGCTGAAAGTTCTTCAAGATGATTAACAGCTTCATTTATGTAGCACATAGAAGTTTTAGCATGTACCACAATAGCCTGGGAAATCCATGGAAGATATCAACAAGTGCAAAAAAAATAAAAAATCATTGACTTCCTAAGGAGGATACATTTTGCTGAAAGATCTCATAGTTCTTTTTGGCAAAAGAAAGCAAAAATAGGAAGAAAGAAAGCCGCAATGAAAGATGATCCAAAAGAGAAATGTTTAGAAGTATACCACAAAAATTAGCATAACAAATACAATCATGGAAGAAGGAAAGCTCCAAGAAAGAAGCAAATTCATGTCTAAAAGTGTGGATATACCAAACATTTTTAGGAATCTAATACCCATTACCATCTAAACTTACAAAAAGAATTAATTGTCAAATTTTCGAACATGTATTGAAGAATTGTAAAATATGTGTACCATGAACAAAATCTCTCTCTCTGAAACATATCAAGCTTGCAAGTCAAAAAATAATTTGCCACAAAGATGAGGAGCGATAAGTTAAAAGTATGAACCTTGACCTAACTCAACTCAAAGTTTAGCTCATGAGATGAGGATTGCCAAAGGCTACAACCACAGAAGAAGACAATAGGCCATACCCTCAACAAATAGGGGACCCTTAGCACCCCTTACCCATGCTAGGACTGGACATGTGATGCATGATCAATGTAACATTGGACTGCAAAGGCAAATTCAGGATTTTAAGTTTATTAGTTTTGAACCAATACTCTATTTGCTTACTGGGTTCTGGTAAATTATTTATAAATATTAAGTGAATATCTTACCATAAATATAGGGGTTAGCCTTAAACTACTTGGCTCTGCCGAAACCCTAAATTCTATTGTAGCTCAGGTCATGCATTGGAACCCAATATTGGGTAAATCAAGAATAAGGATGAGTCTGGTTTTGTTTCCATTTTGAGAAAATAGACATAAGTTCTAATTTAACCCCAAAAGCTAGCCTGTGGGTTGAGGATTGTCAAAACCATATAAGGAGATGACAACTCATTTCACTTCGCACAATTTAAGTTTAAGCAATTCATTTTTCAATGGATAAAGGATATAGAAATGATTCTTAAAGACAACTTTTAGGTGAAATGCCATCAATGACTATCTTCGTCTTCAAGAATAGAAGCACTCAAGACCAATTATAGTCCCTCATCAGTCTCTTTGTCCTTGGGAAATGACATAACATCCGTTACTTCCCACTTTCTAATCTATATCATCAACTGATTTGACATCTCCTGAGAACACTTCGAACAACAAAATTAACATTGTGTATTCCAATTTGGGAAACTATACCGAACAAACTTGGTCACTAGGCCTTTCTCAAAGTGGCTAGACTTGAAGCCTTAAAACTCAGTTATCCTTAGTAGCAGCACATTTTGTTTAAAATTCTTGGTGATTATTAGTTGAACCTCTCTTCCAAGCTGAATGTATGTATTTATACTAAGTTTATTGCCACTGTCACAGAGTATCAACGAGTGTAATGGTACTCCCTTCGTGCCATATTATGTGGCACTTTTCGGATTTCGAGATTCAAACAAATCTATTTTTTTAATGTAAGTTTTTTATAAAACTTTTAAACATTTTAAATTATCAATCATTGTGATTTATAGTACTTTTTACGTAGTTTACAAATATATAAATTTCATTTCAAAAAATTTGAATACTCCGTGTGCAAATTGCCGATCAATTGACTCTCCAAAAACGAAAAAGTATCTTATGAATTGGGACAGAAGGAGTATTTAAACATCCTGGATCTACCTAAGGTGACAGGAAGAGTTTTTCGGCAACAAGTCTGATTAATGGCAACAATATTGTCAATAACAGCACAAAATTCAACAATTTTAACAACATTCCTCATGGAATCAAAAGAAAATCTGATAAACCCCAATTGAGGGAGTACCTGGGATTATTCAAAGGACCAACTTTGTTGACAAAAAGAGGGACTTCATCTCCAATGTTGTAGCGATGGTCATTTAGTGAAGCCAGAGAGACACCCAGCATTAGCAGCAAGTGAAATGGTAGGACCAACTGAGAAATCATACGACCCATTTACCGGATCCAGATGAAGGAAGACAACTTCTTCAATGGAATAAACAAGAAAGGAAATTGATTTCCTATTTAAATAGTCAACTCAATAGCAAGCAACACTGTAAGTAGTAAGGTAGGCATACTAATTTCTGAATTTATTTTATTTTTTCTTCAACTTTCTGAAAAGAAAACCCCCAAAATACAATTTAGACCTCCTTTTTTCCCCCAAATTTTTAATTTTATTTTTCCACTTAACATATTTTTAAGATCACAAGATTAAAAAAAAAAATTGTACATTTAACATATCTTTAAATCAAGGGGTCGTTTGATAATGTATTAGGAATAATAATGCATGCATTAGATGTGTGTATTAATAATACTTTGTTTGGTACACTTTTTCATGTCATGTATAATTGATTCAAACATTAGTTATACACTATATTGTATATTAAGTTGTGTATTACTAATACCAAAAAATCTTAGGTATTAATAATACATAGCATTTAAACACTTGCATTAGATTATATAATTACAAAACTACCTTCAAAGCCTTTTTTTTTAAATCTCCATTTTTCATGGTATTGTGTTTTAGAAACCTTTCATCTTCTATGTGGCTGCTAAATCTTTTAAGAATAACATCTCCATTATTTATAAATTCGATTGTTGGTAATACTTTTTTGTATTTCAATTGCACTAGGAAATAAGATCTGTGGCTGCTAAAGCATATGCGCAGACTCCTAATATATATAAAGTGCATATACTGATTTTAATAGGGTACCCCTTTACAGTTAGGAATTATCTTAGGTCTATGCTGCATGTATCTCCTTTACATTCCATCAATTTTTATTTTTTATTTTTAGACTTGTTTTATCTCAAAAAAAATTGAGGCTGAGCTTAGCAAGATATGTGATCGAATTTTGAGCTTAGCAAAATTGACATCTTCTTTTTAAAAAAATAATCTTATTTCAATATAGTTTAATCAAAATATTTACTATTTGTGACGATTAGTTTGATAAAAAAATCCTTTGCCAACTTTCCACAAAAATATTTTGACGCAATAGTAACAACTATTTAATTTTATATTTGAAAAAAAGTAAGAAGAGGAGTTAATAATGTTTTAACAAAGAAATTTGTTTTGTTGTTTTAGCAAAGAATCTTGTTGCAAAGGAAATGTACAAAGAAATAAAGTGTGAAGGGTATTTTTGTAAACATACATTTTTTTAATGGAAATTATGCAAGATTTGTTATTTCTAATATATCAAACCAAACAGTGTATAAGAAATAATGCAGGCATAACTAATGCATGCATTACTAATATACCCTATTTTGCATTATTCTTATACACTCTATCAAACGACCCTTAAGATAATTTCATTTTATTTGTCCAAACTTTAGTGAACAAGTTAGCTAAGAAACATAGTTAAGTAGAAACAAAATACGATCTCGTGTATTTTAAACTTCATTTCAGAAAAAAGTAAGGCAAATGTTTTACAATAAATAATTATTAAGCGTGATTTATTTATACTTAATGGAAGTAAGAAATTTAGGCCTTATTTATTTTCAATTAAATTAAGCTTGTAGATCATATTATGAGTTCTCGTCGTTGACATGTACTTCGCGCAATATTTGTGGCTCGAAGGCCTAGGGTCAGCTCTTGATGTTCGAAGTTGTCATTCTCCCTCAGTTTTTTTTTCTTGGCAAGCCTTTATTTTGTATTCAGATACGGTTCATTATATGTTTGTATTTACCTTGTACTTATGTATAGCTTGTTCTCTCTCTTTCTCCTTTTGCTTTTTGTATTTGTTCACCATCTTATGCATTCATCTTTCACATGATAGTTTGTTACTTTTGGTTCTAGACTACGGATTTGATTTATCTACTGGCAAAATATTAGTAAGTGCTATCATGACATGAGATTTTGAGTCATGATAGATTGACGTTTTAATCTACACAGATATTTGAATATTAAAACGTGTCTTAAGATTTAATGACATGAATATTAAGATGTTAAATTAAAATCTGAATTCTAAATAGTTAAACGATTGTTTTCTCAACATCTAAATGTATGAAATTGGTATGTATTTAAAAAATAATAATAAACATAAAATTCAAAGAAAACACTAAGATGATATACTATTACATTAATAAAATATTTTTAAAAAATCATATGGCAATTGATGATAGTAATGACTAACGATGGTGATTATGTGTTTCGATTGAAAATAATGTTGACTGATGATGGTGGTTATGGATAATATTTCATGGTATACAATTGTGTGATTAATCATGGTTGTTGGTGATAACGATTGATAATTAGTAATGAAATGCTATTGACACATAATGATGGTTTGCAATATATAATATTGATTAATAATGATAATTATTGGTATTAGTGAAAGTAATAATGATTAGGGGTGATTGCAAAATGATGGTTAACGGTTATGACAACGAAATTGTGTTAGTACTTTTTATAAAAAAAATATGAAATATAATTTAAATGAAGTTTTTTAAAAAATTAAGTAATTTAAATAGAATTTTTTTTTTGATTTTATATATAAAAAGTGAAATTAAATTTTATTATTTTTAAGATTAAATTACAATTTGTTTTAAATATAAATTAAAATTATATTTAAACTTTTCATGATCAAATATTATTTTTTAATTATAGTAATTTTATTTTTGAGAAAAGCAAAAAAATTCTCACAGGTCCTAAATCGCAGAGGCAAGCCGAATGTACGGGCTCGAGAAGTATATTTGAGGGTTTTTAATAGTTCTTCTTTGTGGTCAATTTTCTGGTTCTCCCACTTGTAGATGAGTACGATGGATGAACCACCGGATACCGGCAATGCTACGCCACCGTTGGCCACTCAATTGGTCCAAACAGAACCGAAACAAGTAACAGAGCAGAAACATTCGGAATTGCCAACACATTCAAGGGAATTGATCATTGCTAATCTCCGCAAACTCTCTGACTCTCTCTCCACATTCCAACGGTGTTTAACTGGGCTACGATTACATATCGATTCCTCCTGTAACTCAATCCACTCGTTCTCTATGCTAATGCTCCCACCCCCATATACAACTAATACCAATTCGTTATCACCGCCAGCAGTGTCAATCCCAGAGCCAGAACCATCCCGGGAATTTGACCCTTCTGAGGAGGAGGAAGAGGAAGAGGAAGAGGAGGTGGTGGGAGTGGGAGTGGGAGAGGAAGAGGAAGAGGAAGAGGAAGAAGAGGTGGAGAAGGAGGAGGAGGAGGAGGAGGAGGAGGAAGATGAAGATGAAGATGAAGAGGAGGTGGTAGGAATGGGAGTGGAAGAGGAAGAGGAAGAAGAGGGAGAGGGAGCGAAAACCCCTCTTTGTCCAGAGCTGGCAGGCCTCTGCAAAGCAATGGACAATCGTGGTCTGAAGCACTACATGGTAAAGCATCTCTCGGATAAAAAAAGTCTGCGTGAACAAGTCCCCAAGGCATTGAAACTCTCGGAAAATCCAGCCATGCTCGTGTTGAAATGTCTCGATAAGTTTTATCTTCAGGGGAGCCGTGCCTACGTTCAGGGGTCACATATGATCCTTCAAAGGGAAGCTTCTGTATTGGCTTTGGAGTGCTTATTGTTGACGATGGTAGAGGGCGAGAGAGTAGTTGAGATTGCGGAAGGGGTGAAGAAAGATGCCAAGCAGGCAGCTCTAGCATGGAAGGAGAGGTTGAATTCCGAAGGAGGGGTAAGAAAGGCTTATGACATGGATGCCCGAGGTTTGCTATTGCTCCTTGGATGTTTTGGTATTCCATCATATGGATTTTTACATTCGGATATCAGTTATTTGCTTCAGTTGGGCGCCAAGTTAATTTCTGGTGTCCTCAGGAGATCAAGTATTTTCATGGAATATATCCCAAAACTAATACAGTGGGGGGTGAAGGGCAATGTAATTAACGCAATTGACATTGCCTATACTTTTGGTTTTGAGGAAAAACTTGAACCTCTGGGACTCTTAACATCATTTTTAAAAGAGTCCGAGGAGACATTGTCGAAAAAAATCAAGGGATTTAAACAAACTATTACTGTGCGTGCAGCAAAAAAGAGATATTTGTTTGATCTGAAATCTGTTTACGGATGTTTGAAACGTCACAGGATTGATCCTTCCAAACTTGTTCCCGGATGGCAATTCAATGTGAAAAAATAATGAGCTTGGAGCAAGAAATTGCTGAATTGAATGAGCTTGTATGTCAGGAAGAACTTGCTGAATTGGTTAAGGATATACGTGATCAGAAGATGGCACAAAAGAGAAAGATTGATGAGACTGAGTCATCTGGATGTTTCAGCAACAAAGAAATGAAAAACTCATATTTTCCAAATCCATGGCCCCCGCATCAGCAAAAAGTTGTTAATCATGTTGATAATAGCAACACCACCTTGTTAGAAGGTGGTGGAGCGGGTGGTCACATTTATGGTTATTCTCTGGCCCCATCGGTATTGCATGCGCCTGTTGCAGGCACGATACATGAGAATGTTATTGGCTCACTGCCGGGACCTGTGGGAGGTGTTGCGGCCATGGGTGGAGCTGGGGCAAGTAAATCAGTGCAAGGAGGTTCATGTGCTGGAGTTCATGGACTGAATTTAGTTGATAGTACACCTGGGCAAATAGGAAGTCATACTGGTCAGCTATGTGGACGACTTGGTGATGCAATCGTGTATGACAGATTGGCCTCCCACAGCTATGCTTATAGGCCATTATCCTACTTGGAAGGCTCAGGCTCAGGCTCTATGGGGTTGCCAAACTCCATAACTGTTGATGCTTATGGGTCTCCACCATACTTGGAAGCCTCTACGGTCTTGCCAAGCACCCTACTTGGTGATGCTTATAAGCCTCCATCATACTTGGAAGCCTCTACAGGGTTATCGAACACCATACCTGCTGATGCTTATAGGCCTCTACCGTACTTGGAAGCCTATACGGGGTTGTCAAACCCCATGCCTGCTGATGCTTATAGGCCTCCACCATTCTTGGAAGCCTCTACGAGGTTGCCAAACACCATAACAGGTGATGCTTATAAGCCTCCACCATACTTGGAAACCTATACAGGTTTTCCAAACACCATACCTGCTGATGCTTATAGGCCTCCACCATAATTGAAAGGCTCTATGAGGTTGCCAAACACCACATCTGGTGATGCTTATAGGCCAATCTCTACGTGGTTGCCAAACACCAAACCCAATAATGTTGCTGGCGGGAGCTCTACATCTGATACGTATCAATTCACTGATACTGTTCCAGCAACTGTACAATACCGAAGCAGTGGCTCGCGAGCAGCTGATGCTGTTCCATCTGCTGCGCCTGCTCATTCTTTGTCATACTTGTACTGGTAGATGTAGTTTTTCCTTGGGCAGGTATTACTTTCTACCTTAGTTTCTCATTTTTGTAGTATATCCAGTCTAGTAGTGATTCCGCTAAGGACTCTTGAGATGCACGTACTCTCTTAAATGTTTGTGTTTCATTAGCTGTTAAAAATCTTTGGCTGATGTTCCAGTTCACATATTTCTACATTATATATTTCATCCAAGAGACCATTTTTTTTTCCCCTCTTACATTATGCTTCTCTGCTTTCAGAGATGGATTTGAGCTCATTAATAGGACTTATCCCCTGATCCACTGCTTGTGATGGTGGTTTGAAACACTATAGCAATATACTCGTATTCAACAATGTTTGATCACTATACCCTGTGAAGTATACTTCGCAACTGTTTTATGATGCCTGTTTAGCTTACAAGGATCTTCATAAAAGGGGTTGAGTTGCATCAAGTCTTGCATGTGTGGAATAGGCATGGAGGGGAATGGTACCTTTCTTTCCCATTGTACAGTTGCGAATCAGTAATGGGAGCTGTTAAACAGATAATTTGCATCGAATTGGTTGATGCGTAGCTCTCCGCAAACCTGCTTTGCTAGGGGGATGCATTTCCATCAAGGAACTGAGGAGGATTTGGAAGATGACCATTACCTGCATTGCAGGTATATTGTAAATTTCTTTGATAGAATATAGTATTAGGAAGTTACAAGTATGTATTCGATTAGGCATCTGCGTAAAATATGCTCTGTCAATGATGTGTTGTATAAGGAAAGCAATATGTATGTGGCACACTGATAAGAGTTTCAAATACTACTAAACTTCTTATGACATATTTTATCACTTGTAGTTGAAAAGTCATTGTACTTGTAGTATTCAACATGGGTATATACAATGTGTTCTGAAATTTTTACAAATACTCTCTATATATGCATGAACCATGGCCCTGCTACTCTTTTATAATGAATTATTAATTTGTTCTATGGTTTTAAGCTTATGTAATGCTTTGTTCAATTAGTTAGAAGACTTGTTCAAAGGGTAAAGAAGAATCACTTGAAAAAAAGAGAGGGTAACTTTCCAAGTACATCATGGACTTGTACTAACTGAAAAGAATATTTGAAGATTGAACTGGTCTATAGTTGAGAAATTGCAATAATCATTCTGTTATCGCTCCCTAACAAAGGCAACTCTGTACCTCGAACACAAAATCTCTAGTTAAGGATGAAGAGTACTTATCACTCCGCCACAACTCTTGATCTTGAGTAGAAAGTTAAAGCAGTACTTTTAGGGATTTTGTGGAGTTGATTTTACAGAATTGTCCCTTTCTTTAAACTACTTTTTTTTTTTCTTTTTCAAAAGTACATTTCTTTCTAGGCAAGATTAATGCTTGTGAATATTCTTCTTTTTATTTTTTATTTCTGTGGGGTGGGGAAAGAACTTGCACAAGATTAAAAATTAGTGAATAAACCTAGACGATAAAGCACGGAATTTTAATTTTAATGATACGTAACATGTCACGCAACAAATATAATATACTAACAAATTGTAAGTTAATTCCATGCTTAAGTGACAAGCAATGATTTGATTAAATCTAATCTGAAATAGATTAGTAATTAAAGCCATAGAATAATACCTTGAAGATATGATTCAAAACCAATAAATTTTCCAGGAATAAAGAAGAAGGAATGTTAGATCCAAAAGGAACTCATTTCTCAAAAGTGTTTTAACAATTTTCCACATGAAGAACATGGCTTTTAATCTTCATTAAGAATAAAAAGTTTTAGCACTCAAATGCATGCATACCAAATCCTACATGGAATCTCTCCCCTTTTTTCCAACTCCAATCATTGGTTTTAGGAAGCAATTATTGGTAGGGGGCACCCTACCTCCAAAGGTGGTTACATTTGATGATCAAAGGTATATATAAAGGTGCACGTACAGAAACAGACTCAAATTTTTAAATTATTTATATGTATTTAGTGAATTTCTTAACATATGTATATAATTTTGATGAAAACTAATTAATTCTAGCTCCGCCTTGTGCGTGCATGTGTATTAACATTACGTAGAAGGGGTATTAGTTAATATTATCAAGAAATTGGAAGGATTTATCATTAAGTTACAAAGCATATTATATATTTAGATATATGTAATTGTTAGGTAGTTAAAAAGCGACAACAAGAGAGAATTTCCTTGTTAAATTAATACAAATATTGTTTAAGCATTAAACAAACAGAAATAAGTTTTCAAAGTTTGTACATTATTGAAGGTTCAAACTACTCTAGGTGGCAACAAAACAAATTACTGAACTTGTATAATTGAAAGTCGATCTTAATGGCCTCCAAATCATTTTTTTAATTATTTGCCTCTTATTAATGAGTACTTAATAGCATTAATGGTATCCAGAGTCATTGTCTAAAATTGAAAAATAATCATATATATACACATCTACAAATAGTTGAAAATGACTAAAATGTCTTCTATTAATTAGATCTTTTGGAGATATAGACATGTCCAACTTGACATCCTTTTCACTAGGATTGACATAAATAGCGAAGAAATAAAAATTTGATCGAATCGAATTAATTTGATTATTTTGTTTTGTTTTATTAATTTGATTTCAAATATTAAATTTTTTAAAATTTTGATATTCGATTTGATTCTAAGATTTAATTTCAGAGCATAAGTTTAAGCTTAAATAAAGCAAGAAGATTTTAAGAACATTATTTTGGCATGATAATTAAAGGCAAAGGTATACCTAATGCAATTGCAAACAGGGGACCCTATATTATTAAGTCCACTTTAATTTCCCTTGGACTTAATTGTGAACAAGGGACACAAAGAACATTTTTTTTTTCCTTATAATAATTTTTTTAATAGAATTTTTGGTGTGTCCTTGTTTTAGGTGATGAGAAGGATTGGATGGTGACCTATCAATGAAGGGGATAATACCAAACAAAGCCATTTCAAAGGCTTGATTAGTTAATTATGAACACAAGTTGTAGTGGGCTTTATATAAATGTTTTTGTTGATAGGCTACAACCTAAAACTTTGACATTCATTTTCTCTTACCTAGGTGTGTAAATGAGTGACTTCCAAAATAAAAAGAAAAGCCAATTATTTATTGGACAAATTACAAAATACTCACTTTTTGTTTTACTTATTTCTATTATCCCCTATTATTTTTAATTATTTATCTGCACACAAAAGGCTTGATTAGTTAATTATGAACACAAGTTGTAGTGGGCTTTATATAAAAAGTTTTTGTTGATCGGCTACAACCTAAAACTTTGACATTCATTTTCTCTTACCTAGGTGTGTAAATGAGTGACTTCCAAAATAAAAAGAAAAGCCAATTATTTATTGGAGAAATTACAGAAATACACACTTTTTGTTTCACTTATTTTCATTATCCCCTATTATTTTTAATTATTTATTTGGACACAATGTTTATATCATGTCAATGAATTCAAGACATAACGATAAATTATTATTAAACATATAAATATGTAAAGTTAAGTGATTTGTGTAATTTAATTTTTTGTAACTTTAAAAGTCAAATTGTTTATTTAGTGCAAATATTATATGAATGTAAGAATATTTCGCGTAGACGAAAGTATCTTGCAATAACTTTAATCTATTTATTACTCTCTTTTATTAGCTTTTTTTTTTTTATAAACAAGAACTAATCACATCTCAATTTCAAACAACGTAAACATAATTCTGGTTAACTCTACTCTTTTCAAATCCATTTTATTTATAAGTCGATAAAAAATCGTTTGGTGGTCAACATGTTAGTATACAATCAAATGTTGGAGATTAGAGTATAAATTCCAGTATAAACAAAATAAGTACCTTTCGTTCCAATTCATGTAATACCCTTATTTTCAATCCATCTTAAAAGAAAATGACATGTTTTCATATAAGTAAAGAATTTAACTTGAGACTTTTAAAGAAATGATCTATGGTTACATATAATTCTTTGCTCTCTTACACACAAATTCCGAAAATATTTTTTCTCTTAAGTTTAATTTTCACTCAAACACTTTTACATGATTTGAAACAGATGAAGTATATGATTTAATCAAAACAGATGCAAGTTAACTCGAACACTGCCCTTATGCAAAAATTACAAATCAAACCATCACAAGGGTAGTAGTACTTTTTATCTCATCACAAGTTTGGTGGTCTGTGTATTAGTACTTACAACTCTGAAATGGCTCAAGAAAAGGGCCAATGAGGAACAACAGGCGGTTAAGGAGAGAGAGAGTGGAGTAGGAGACTGATTTAGTGACCCCACCCCATGTCCTTTTCTCTTCGTGAATAAAAAATTTGTTTTGTGTGTTTTCACTACACATTTTGTTTCTTTTCAAACCCCACAAATAGCCCTGAGAGAACAGGTCTGCAAAGGACAAGATTTTCTGTAACATAAGATGAGTTTCAAATTTCATAATCATTATAATTGATTACAACAGGATGAGGGAGATAGAGTAATAAAACCCACCCCATCCAAAAGAAAAAACACAAGTATAAGACTAATTATTTTTCTTCTTAGAGGAGAGAAAGAAAGACCAATAAAAGATCAACAAACTGGACCCTAGCTGTTTGTATATATGTCTCTACACATATACAATTATGCTTTGACAAGAAAGTTTTGATCTTTACAGTCTATTTCTCATTTGGTTCCTTGAGAAGATCATTAAATTTGAAACTGAGGTGAAAACTTTAACTAGCATCTTTCTTTGGTTCTCTTTTACTTCAAAGCTAACATCTTTTTCTTGTTTTTTCTTAGAGAAGTTCAAGAATGGTCTGAAAGGTTGGTTTTTTGCATGGCGAGTCAAGGAATTGGAGAGACTGGTTTGACAGATTCTGGAACATCACACCACAATCACAATATGCCATATGCTGTTTTTAGGGGGATAAATCCTGCTAGCACAAGCTTCATGTATCATTCTATTCCCAAGTAATTAAAAATCCTGTATTTCCCTTAAGTTTTGGTTAAGGATACATTTAATTTCAGCTTTTAACATGAGTTGTTTTTATTTTGTGTTATAGTGGTAATCAAGAAGGAGCTGGTTTTGATTTTGGAGAGCTAGAAGAAGCTTTTGTACTGCAAGGATTTAAGATGAGTAATGATGAAGCTAAAGCATGTATGGTTTTTTTCTCTTCTATACTTTTCTTTCTGACGTTTGCAATGTATAACTAACTCCTTACTGTAAAGCAAAGAAGCAAAGGGTGTTTGAATAAGTCCATAGAAGGGTTCATTAAGAGGCTTACTATTTCCAATATTGTAATCATTCTTGTGCAAAAGACTTAATGGCGTGGGGTTTCAAACAAGGAAACATGAACTCCTTGCATGATTTACTGACTCCATAACTGCAGCTAAAAAGGAAAAAAAAAGAAGGGGAGATTAGGTTCTTCCCTTTATGAAGTTTTGAAAGTTTTGTTTTTCTTTTTCTCTTTTTCTCTTTTTCTCTTTCTTATGTTCTCTTTTTTTATGCTGATCCTTCAAGATTTTGCTTTTGTGATTCTGTGCAGCTTTATATGCAGCAGCAGCCACAGGGAAGCCTGCTGCAACTTTGGAGATGTTCCCTTCTTGGCCTATGAGATACCAACAGACCCCAAGAGTACTTAATTTATTTTTTCCATTTTATGCTTATCCTTCTTTGACCATGTTGTTTTAAAATTGTCCTATGTGCAATACAAGCTTGGACTTTTACTCAAAATAGGCAACCCCTTTGGAAGCTTTTATATAATGAAGGTGAAGATAATTTTGCACACAATTTAAATCTGTTTTCTTGGCTTTGTCTTTTTACATATAGGAAAACTCAAAATCAAGAGAAGAGAGTACTGATTCAGGTTCACTTTCAAGCAGAGCTCAACCCCATTTTGAGCCAGAATCTCCCATCAGTAGAAAAACATCTTCAGACCATCAACTTCAGATAACACACAAATCTCAAGAACAACAACAGCAACAGCTTCAAGATATGGCAAGTAATAATAATCCAAGAACAGGAGTTTTACAAACTGAACTATCTTCCAAGTCCAACAGTGAAAAGGTTTTTCTCACAACACTTTATCTCCTCTTCTATTATCATATCCCAAGATCTCAGGAAAAAAGGTGGAATCTTTATTGTATAGACACAATCACAAATCCCAACAACTGCTAATGAATACACTAAAGACACAGTTTTTCTGAAGGATTCTCTGAGATCAGAAAAAAAAGAAAGAGAATCTTTACAGTGCTTTTTATACTTTTTACCCCTTATGCACTATTCATTACTGTTGTTTAAACTCCAGTTAATAATATTTTCTCTTATCCCTAGAACTGTAGTTAACTCCCTGTTCTTCAGGTTTTTAAATCTTTCTTGGAACCAGAAAAAATAAATTCACAAGAATACCAGATGATACAATGAATTAGCTCATGTATACATAATCAGATGTTTTATTCTTAAATGCTTGGACACCAGTAGTAGTGTTTGAAAATTACAACTTTGATTCTGTCCAAAAATCTTAAAGTCTTTAAAAAAAGAATCGGCCTTATTTGACACGCTATACTACTTTTTTTAATTGCTTAACAAAAATTTATCTTCACGCAATTGAAGTATTCTCTTCTTGAATATTTCTACATAATTAAACAAGCTTTTGTTTTAATACTTTGTAGAAAAAGGGTGCTGCTTCAACCTCAGAGAGGGTACTTGATCCTAAGGTGGGGGTGCCCACACATATTCGCATTTGCCAAGAATATACAATTAAATTATCTTGTTTCCTAATTGGAAATTTTAAAATTACTAAACAGTACTATTTCTTTCTACTTTGTTTATTGTAGACATTGAGACGTTTAGCTCAAAATAGAGAAGCAGCAAAGAAGAGCAGGATAAGAAAAAAGGTAATGTTTTTCTTGTTTCCATTATGAAAGTCTTTTATATGCCAAATTCCTCTATCAATATTCTTTACATTTCAAATTTATTATTATTATTATTTGCATTTATGCAGGCTTATGTACAACAGCTAGAAACAAGTAGGATAAGACTTTCTCAGCTAGAACAAGAACTTCAAAGGGCTAGCTCTCAGGTATCAATATTAGAAAATGACTTATACTTTTTTTTTTTTTTTGTAGAATAATAAATGCAAGTGGTTATTTAATGATTTTTTCTACTGATTGTGTGGCAAACAGGGGATTTTCTTGGGAGGTGGTACTGCTGCTGGTTCCAATATCAGCTCTGGTAAGTTTTGGACTATTATTGTAGCTGGTAAAGTTGTTGTTATGTGACCACGGGTTCGAGCTATGAAAATAGTCTCTTGCAGAAATGCAAGGTAAGACTGTGTACAATAGACCTTTCGGGTCCGACCTTTCCCCGAACCCCGCGCATAGCGTGAGTTTAGTGCACCGGACTTCCCCTTTTATTTTCTCAACCAATGCATTGCTTATGGACACCCAAGAAATATAAATTTAACTTATACTACTGTATACATTACCAATGTAATTAAATTTTTACCTATCAGTACATTTTAACTCATCATAGTTCAGAGTTTTGACTACAGGCAGCACCCAGAATTTGTTGCATGCTAAGTCTTTGTAATTCTTATTGGCTTCTAGTAGCAGACAAACAACTTGAGTTTGACTACAGAAAGTTTGTCTTTTTCTTTTGTACTTCTTTGTGTGACATTATTAGAGTACTCCAGTGTATATGAGTTGAAATTGTATTTGGCTGAATACAATCTTTAGAGATTTTAATTTAATTCATATATTCTATTAATGACAGATTGCTAAAATAAGAGTTAAAAGGGTATTACTTTTTTACTATTTCATAAAAATAAAAATACTGTTCAAAATGTCAAGACCATGCATGTGCTAAGATTAGAGCCTTGGTAAAAACCATTGTGACAAAAATGCATTGTTCAATTTTTTGCTGCAGGTGCTGCAATATTTGATATGGAATATTCAAGATGGTTGGATGATGATCACAGGCACATAGCCGAGCTTCGAACTGCATTACAAGCACATTTATCAGATGGTGATCTTAGATTAATAGTTGATGGATACATTGCTCATTACGACGAAATTTTCAACTTGAAGGGAGTGGCAGCAAAATCTGATGTATTTCACCTAATCACTGGAATGTGGACAACTCCAGCTGAACGCTGCTTCCTTTGGATGGGTGGTTTTAGGCCCTCAGAGCTTATCAAGGTAAATGTTGCAATTTTGGACTGATTCTCTGAACTATTGTTGGATAATTTTCTTGAAAAAGCAAAAAAATAAAGTTGTATATTGTTATGTTCAAAGCAAATATGTTTTTCATAAAGGTATGACAAATATAGATTGTATTTTAAAGGAAAAACATGGTCGAGGTGGTGGCATATGATATAATTTAACCTGTTATAGCAAATTGTATGTATTATTTTACAGGTAACTAGTCCCACGTATTGTGGAAAGTAACTGTAATTATATTTTAGATGATCTTTCTTCTAGTAAAATTAAACTAAATGCCCATGTCAAAGTTCGAATGAAGTCAAATTTACTACTTTTGTTGTTTCTAATCATACTATGATCATTTGTGAAATTGAGCAGATGTTGATAGGACAATTAGACCCTTTAACAGAGCAGCAAGTAGTTGGAATATACAGCCTCCAACAATCTTCCCAACAGGCAGAGGAAGCTCTTTCACAGGGATTAGAACAACTACAACAATCTTTAATTGATACTGTTGCCACTGCTTCTCTCCATGATGGAATGCATCATATGGCTCTTGCATTGGGGAAACTCTCCAATCTTGAAGGATTTGTTCGTCAGGTAACATTAATCCTAAATTTGTTTACTATATTCGTTTTTCTCTGATAATATTATCTATGTGGATATTAAGTGCATATGTCATTGCCAGTTTTACCTTCTCTTTTTGACTCAAACCATAGTAAGTTTAAAGTACATACATTAAGTTTGTAACTATTGTCATGAAACAGTATTCAGTAGTACAGTCATAGCTCTACGCATGACTTGTTATTTTTCCTTTTCATTTGATATCCATATCATCAGTCGCGTAGCTAGGAGGTTTCATTCATCATTTACTATATATACATAAAATAAAATTTTGATGTTGTATATGGTATATACAAAAAAAATGTGATTTTCAAGCGATGAACTCCCTTCCGCCCCTGCATATCATGCACACTCGAGGACTAAAATACTCTGGTTTTCTGTTCATTGCAACAACCTGCTTCAATTATACCGTTTGCAGATAAAGAATGCACGCATGCTTGATAAGATCATTATATTTTATGGAATATTTTATTTAACTGTATCCCTATCCATATATGAAGCATGTTCCAATAGAAGCCATAGAAGAGCTATCAATAAATTAAAACAAATTACAAAAAATGTCAACGTATTAGTACTTTATTTCAAATAATAGACATAACACTATTACGACTTATTTAATGATTGGAATATTCCAAGGCCATCTCAATACAACTATACAAGACAATTTGATGGGTTTCAACCATTTAAAACATTGTTTAAGGAAATTATGTCCTGGCTGCCTGACAATTACAGGTCCATTTCAAACTTCTAATTGATTTTTTTTTATTTTGATTGAGATATTTAATTAATCAATTCTTTTGTCTCCATTGTCTATATCATTTAGTAGATATGATGACGACATAAGTTGAACTTGAATGAAGCAGTAAAGATTCATTCATATAGCTGATCCCTACTTATTTGAGACTGAAGCGTATGACTACTGATCACATCTTTATTGTTCATAATTCCAGGCTGATAATTTGAGACAACAAACATTGCATCAATTACACAGAATATTAACAGTAAGACAAGCAGCCAGATGTTTCTTGGTGATTGGAGAATATTATGGTCGACTACGAGCTCTAAGTTCTCTATGGTTATCTCGTCCACGAGAGTAAGATTCTATGATTTATAAATCTTGTAAGAGAAAATGTTTGTCAATATGAACAAGTATAAAATAATTTCTTTCAAATCGTAATCTTATTTCAATTATCTATATGATTTAGGACACTGATCGTGGATGATAATTCTTGTCAAACAATAACGGGACTACAAATGGTACAATCTTCTCAGAACCACTTCTCAAATTTCTGATGATATATCTCTTCATGATGATCAAATTGTATTTCTGAGAGCTACCTACTTAGTTAAGTAGATTATTTTTTTTTTTCATTTTTGTTGTTAGCTTCTTGATATTATGACTAAGTTATCATGTAAATGTAAGGAATCAAGATTATGTGCAAGAGGAAGTTACCTTTAGGGTCTGTTGGTTCAAAGTCAGGTTATTCTGAGATTATAGTCACGATTATCTATCACATATAAAAAAAAATGTACGTTGAGCAATAAACGAGAGATAATATAAAATTTATATATTAAGTTTATTTGTGGAAAAAGGACAAGAGAGAATTGGGGATAAGGTATGAAGCTGACTCAATATAATTGTCTTTATTTGAAGTATTTTTAGTGATGATTTTAGAAAGATGGTTGGTTGTTCTTCATTTCTGTGAAGTGGTTGAGAATATTATTTTAAGGAGGAAGGGACAGAAAAAAACAAAGAAAAAAAGAAGCAAATTATTAGTTGGATAAAATTGTCTCTTGCAAATGGAAGATATATGATGTTAATTGAGAGGGTGACTTGCTCTTGGTATGCATGAAGAGACTATCAAGTTGTGTATAATTTAATAGAGAAATGGAGAGAACTTGTATATGATGGATTAAATTCAATAAAATAAACAAGTATATATATGGTGAGATGGGTGGAGTAGGGAGATTATATATATATATACTAAAATGGTCTGTGGTGAGATGATTGGAATTCCTTTATCTTTAATCAGAATGATATGAACTCCTTGAAATTGATTTTTTTTATTAGGGGTGTTGTCCTCATAAATGAATCCTATATTGTATGAATCTAAAATAAATTAAGCCCAAATATAAATACTGAACATCAAATAAAAACACAAAAAGAATTAAAGGGAAATTGTATATACAAGTATGGCACACACGTAACAACATGTGGATTCTTCAATGGGAAAGAAAAAAGGCAAAAATTAGTTGTTATGAATACCTAATTCATCCACTCCCATGAATATGAGGAAGTTAGTTGCATATTTGCTTTTTCTAAACCCTTTTTTTTTTTGTTCTTTTTTCCTCTTCAATATAAATTTCATCAACTCTTGGGTTGATGAAAACGAAGATATTGGCTATCCAAATAGATTTTCAACTTGCTACGACGCTTCAAGGTTCAAGAAATTGTCAATTTTTTTTTGTTACGTTACTCATATTTCGACAAACATTGTAGTACCAACGACACTATGATAATCTATTCAATGTAATTTCATAAATGGAATTTGAAGAGGGTAGTGTGTACACAGTCTAATTCCTATCTTGTGAAGATTAAGAGGTTATTTCCTATGTATCCTTGACAAGTAAAACATATCAACTGATTAGGAAAGAGAAATACAATAGTGAAGAAGTCGTGTTGAAAATAATGGAGAAAAGAACCATAACAATAACAAATACATTATACAAATAATAATAAAATCGAAAACAAAATAGTAGAATTATTCTGTTTGATTCTCTTTTGGACTACATTTTCGAAATAAAAAAATGTTTGAAAAGTAAAATAAACATTTTTTAGGAAAATTTATAGGAAATAATAAATATTTTAAATTATTCTAGTAAATCATTTTACACTTAAATACTCCACTACTTTTGATTGCCATTAGGATTTTAAATTAACCTATGAAAACATAATTAATTAAAGTGGAAATTAAAAATGCATTACCTGTCATTATCAGCGTGCTTTCGCTTACTGAATTAAATTTTAATAGTTTGTGTGCTACCAAATGATTATGACCAAATCTTTATTATTAAAATCTCATGTCGTTTTAGTAATTAGGTTTTGCCTTAATGATATGTAAAATTATTCTTTAATTGGTACTAATTGTTTTGGTGGTCCAAAAGTAGTCTAGTTTTTTTTTTAAAAAAAAACAAAACATCGACAACGTTGATGTTTCAACTAAAACGTAGGTCTTTAACCTAACTATGTAAAGGCAAGAATATAAATATATGTTCTTGGACGGAAGGATTCAAACCTAAAAATCAGTTGCCTTATTACTTGAGACCATGCTTCATTGAAAATTTCTATAGTTGATTCTAGTTTTATATTATTTATAATAACGTTTATGAGTTGAAAATAAGAAGACTCTAAGTTACAAGGTGACATTTGTAATAAGATAAAATCGCCGATGCCTATGTGATCTTGTGTTTGATTCTCTTTTTGGACTCAAGTCCGCAAAATATTATTGGGCCTAAGCGAACAATATTACTATCCACACTTTGACAGAGTTGGACATGCGGAGGTGATGAATGAAATGAACCTACCTACATGATGATGATCAAATTGTCTTTAATTAATTACATTTTGTCGAGGCTAATCATTGAACACTTGTAAGAATTTCAACAATTTTGATGTAGAAATTAATAGTAATAAGTCCTTAATTGTTGTGAAATGTCAACTAATTGAGGAAATCTAGTGGTTCTTATTCACCTAATAATAGTAGAATGATCAAGTGCATTATTGATTTATTTGACATTTTTTATAATATGGAATTTAGAGCAAATATGATTGAAGCAGATCACCAGATTTTCGAAATTAAACAAGTACATAAGGACAAATAGATAGGAGTAAAAATTGTACGTTAATCAACTTTCAATATCCTCAACAAACCATTATTACAAAATAAAATAAAAATAATCAAAGAAGGAGAAAAAAATGGATCTAATATATCATTTTTCTATTGGTGTTTGACTAATAAGTGAATTGTTACCGACAAACAAAGCAATCTAACTGCAAAGTGTAAACTATCTATTGGGCCGTCAAAATGGCCGGCCCAGCCAGCTCTGCCGAGTTTGACGATGCAACAACTCAGCCCAATCCTAAATGTGTGGAGTTCGATTTTAAAAACAAAGTTGGAAGATGTAATTGATTAATTTTCAGCTGTTATAATTAGTCAGTTATCAGTCGATTCTTACAATAAAAAAGAGTTATCTGAAACGTAACAATTACTTACTCTTAGGTAACTTGCCTTAGTTATTATTCCCTCAATTTCATATTAATTGAATTGTTAAGGTGTTTCACATCTTTTAAGACATAAATTAGGTTTAACTTTCCACTTTTACCCTTATTAATTATTATCAAAATTATGATTTAAATAACTAAATATTAATTAATAACTAATTCCAATACTAACTAATAAAGGGTAAAATTGGAAAAAATTCTAAAAGTAATCTTGAAAATTGAACAATTAAGTTAATTTGAAAAATGAAAAATGTCTCAATAATTCAATTAATATCAAATGGAGGGAGTAGTAAATTATGCATGACCTTAGATAGGAAATAGGAGGACACAAATTTTGGAATAAAGTTGGTATGTAGGAGTGCGTCCATACTAGTAGGAATGAGTACACACTACACACTACATCAAAAATGATCTTTGGTGGTAATTAATTAACGACAATAGCTCAATTGTCGATAAATATGTATTTTTAGCAGCAATTAGCACTCTTTATATATGTCTCAAAAGTCTTTAGCAACATTGCATCTAATGACACTTAACTAATGCCGGTAATGACTTTAACACTCTTTATTAATGTGTCTATTTATTGCCACTAAATGTTGTTTTTGTTGTAGTGACATTGTCTTGTTTCCTTTACTAGTAGAGTTGTAGTTGTAGGACTACTCTTGCAATTTCTTGTTCTTCTGTTTTTGTTGTTATCGATGATTTCGTATAGTTCGATTGTAGTATTATTTTGTGGTAGTATTGCTCTTCTATTATTATTGTTTTATTTTACTATCGATCTATTGCCTCTTGTACAATCATTACGTCTTTTTTTTAGACTATTTTTATCTTGAGCCGATGGCACCTCTGAAGTAGAGATAAGGTTTGTGTATGCCTTACCCTCTTCATACCCCACATTGTAAGACTAAACTGGGTAGCAGACACAATATAGCATCATGGCAGCGTTAGTTTTACAAGCAAGCCCCTATGCAATAGCTAGGCTCACATCGTCTCTCAAATTGATCCGACATTTCTAGTGCCTTTTGAAACTCAAAGAGAACCAATTCTTTTTTAATTAAGTCAAAGAGCTGACTCATATTATCCTATTAAACAATCGAGTTGCCGAACACTTGAGTACCTTAGTCTTGGTGTTTTTTACGCTTATCATTAGGTAAATCCTCAACTCTTTTGCTTTAAGAACATGAAAGTGAGTGAAATGGTTTATATAGTTTGCGTGTCTTGTCTTGATATCTAAGGCACATAACATTTCAAGGCCTTTTCTTTTCGTAAGGGATCTCTTTTTCTCATTTAAAGAGAGAAAAAAACAACAATCAAGATTCAAGAATGAAGTTTTCTATTTGCAGAAAAGCTCAACCAAGTCTCCTTATCTGTCTTAATTCTTCTTGAATACATACAAAAACATCAAAAATTGTCAAACATAGTATTCTAGCAATCTGCATACTGGAGTTTGATTTCTATTGTGTTGCGATCGATGCACCTTGGATGAAAACAAGTAAAGTTATTTAGCAGTATGCATCCAACTCGATGAATCTGCAACAGCGCGCAGGTCTACAAGACTCAACCCTTTAGCTTCATTTTCAGTTTAGATATAGGAGAGAAAGGGGGTGTCAATCATTCTTTGACAAGATTTTCCAATGAAAACTGATACCCGTAATAGCAAGTCTCGTCGCCTTAAAGATATCCTTCCCTTTTATGTTTCAATATCTATGTCTAGTACAGTTGAAATGCCTCAAAAAGTTTAAGAAGACAATGCAAATCAATCACACTTGTATTAATTAATTTCAAGAAATCAATCTACTTACAGGGAATAAATACTTAGTGATCTGCTAACTTTGGCTTGTATAATGGAGGATCTTCCCCAAGCACAAGTGATGTCAAGACAGCTTCACACACTGCAGTGTCATACACAAGCAAGTGACCACAGTCAGGAACTTCGTGATATCGAATCCAGGGCAGCCTTTGCGAGACGTGTCTTTGTAACTGAACAGGCACAACTTTGTCTTTGACACCTTGCCAGATGTGAACCGAGCTTTCGTTTTGTGGGTATGGGTCAGTTAGCTCCAACGGATTAAAATCCCATTTTCCAAAAGCTACAATAATGTCACTACAAAGGGAGTCGAATACACTTCGGTCCTTAAGGCCATCCTGTAAATTAAAGTACAGCTTCTGATCATATATTTACAGAAGTTAAACGTGTAGTGACTTCTACTGCCAACAACCAGAATAGCAATTCTGATACAGCAGATCATACAAAATGTGTTCTTTTTTTGTCTGAATGGAACGTTACCTGAGTGAACAACTGATATCCCGGTGTGTTCTTCAAGACTTCCAAGTCTCTCTCACAGAAAAATTGAGGATTTCCATCAAGAACAGACGCTGATGGGAAAACTTTCTGAGTCAACCACCAATGTAATATCCCCCGAGCATAACATGTGATCCAAATTACCCACCGAGAGAGTTGTTTCCTGTAATCATTCTTCACTAGATCCTTAGGCAGTGTGCGCCATTTATAATTGACAAAGGGAACGACGAGAGCAACACCTGCAAGCCTGCAATGCATTATACTTCAAAAGTAAAATCTAATAGGCCTAAACCTTAACCAGTAAAGCCAACAAGCTAAAAGCTCTCGAGATAGTTCTCTAACCTTCCAGGAATGTGCTTGATGCAACTCCAAGCCGGGTAACATCCCAACGACACACCTATTACATAGAATCTGGATCCTAATTCCAACAGATCAGCTAGCTCTTCAATATCAGACGCTTCACTTTTAAGCGACCTTTTTGAATTTATATCACTCTCTCCATATCCAGCTCTATCAAAGATCAAAAGGTATATCCCCAATTCATCAAGAAGTTCCTGGCAACTAGAGCAATATTAGATCATTCTAAACTAGACATTTTAGACAAGCTAATTCAAGAATAACATCTCCTCAGCACAAAAAGAACACACTTTCCCACTCCCTCAAAGAATCAAAATATGCTAACCACAAAACCAATGTTGCTCGGACTCTCCAAAAATATCTCCAACTGCATGTCGGATCCTCCAAAAGTAGTGCATTCTTGGAGGATCCGCGCGACATAGCACCAAGCAGAAGAGATTTTCAATTACTTACTCTGCCTTGAAGTCACTTCAATTAGCACAGTAAACAGTAGTTCTAACCAGGTAATGCCAAGTTCAATTGTTCTTGAAAAAAAAACCATTTATGGATCTATTAATTTCAACCCTTTCTCTTCAAATCTATGATATTGATACCAAATTCACAATTCTCTACCAGTTTAATGCTTAAGTATCAGTCTCAAACAGTGAAAAGTAAGATTCAAAATCAATAAACTATGGTGTATAGATACAAATAAAAAAAATTGAAAGAGGAACAGAATCTACATACATCAGAAGCCATAAAGCTCATTTCTTTAGAACTGCCAAAGCCATGAACAATGATGATTCTGTATTTGGATATGTTTTTGGGTACCCCTCTTTCTCTATAAGCAAGATATCTACCATCACCAAGTTTGACTCTAGGTGAAGTGACAACAACAGATTCATCTATAAGTGATTTGGATTCAGTTTTCTCAGTAGAAGGCTCTGTGGGCTGACCAGCACATCCTAGACAACCCATCATCATCAATACAAGTTTCTTGAAAACCATTAATTTTCTGAAAAAAAGGGGGCAAAATTAATCATCATATAACTTATGAAAAAAATTGAAACTTTCAGTTTATGGGTTTGAATTTGGCTTACCAGATACACAATTTCTTTGAAAAAAAAATCAAGAATTAGTAGCCTTGATTGATTGGTAGATGAGGTGTATGGGTATTTGTACCTTTTTCCATCTTTACCCTTTTACTTCTTTTTGACTAATTGAAGATGTGTTATTGAGTTACTAAAGTTATACTATGTGTGAGGACTAAAATGGCAGCCTGTCTTATGAGGAAATGGGGTTGGGTAGAAACAATCCATGTCTCAAAAGAACTTTTGTATTGGCCTAATGCTGCATTATCTTTGAATGTCTGAACATTGTGGTCATTAGTCAAAATCTGCTTTCAGATTTAAGGTTGCTGATCTCTCTGTCCTAAAATCATTTTGACATGAGAAAACATTACAATTTTTTTTTATCCATTCGATGTCCTATATTTGTATTAGAATTTTTAAATTCACGCCATATAGAGACTTATTTAGAAAAAACACTCTTTACTAATACATAACTCAAATAGAAACTATGTGCCTAATCTAATATATATAAAAATTATATTATGTTGGTGTAATATAGCATAAATACAATAATTTACACCTGAAAATAAAATAAACAAAATTAATAAATTAAAATTTCGGTTGATGCACAAATATCTTTGAGGATATTCAAACTCACTATAGCATAATCTTCACTGATTTAATAATAATACTCTTAACTTATTCTCTTCAAAATAGAATAACTCAACAACATCGTATAACTCAAGCGATATATCGTTGGCTTCCGTTAATTTTAAAGGACTGCAAAGCGATAAGCCAATCGAAGACGTTGCAATTCTATAATTTTGAAATTTAAGGATTTTAGGGACAACTTACTGTTGGCTTCAATAAAGTAAATTATGAGATCTCACTGCCAGCACATGTTTTGCTGCCAGAGAATTATAAATAAGGTATTTCTTCCCATGTGAACATTCATTACTCTCTCAGTCTATTTGATTTGAGATAAAAAAAAAATTTAAGAAGGAAAATTTAATAAAACTTGTAGCGTAAAATATTTATATGATTATAAGTAAAAATAAAAATTTAAAATTAAATTATTTCTAAGTACAGTAAGATATGTAAACAGATTAAAAAGAAAAGTGTGTCACATAAAATATAGTCTAATTTCTTTATTTATATATAGTTTATATGATTTTTTTTAATTATTATAATAAAATTTTATTGTAAAAGTATATAATATAATGTAAGTCTAGAGGAGTGGATGTTCGGTATTTAGTTTGGGTTTCTCAAACTTCGGATTCGATAATTGGTAGCTAAAAGTAGATAATATTACCAAATTATTAAATTTCGGTTCAGTAAACAGTAAAATAAACTCCAATTTGGTACGGTATTCGGTGTATTGAAGTTATAGTTGATTGTATTACAAAGTTAATACCATTTCTCCAATCATTTCTTGTTAGTGAAAACTTACAAGATAACAAAAATACAAGATTACAATTGAAAATAAAAATGAAGAAATAAATTTCTTCAGGCTGAAGCGCGGATCTCGCTCTCTTTAAGGAGATTCAAGCCCACTGCAACAAATGTTTTCACCGATCTAGCCGTAGTCCTTCTTGACTTATCCCCTCCAGGATACAACAACCTAATCACAAAATATAACTCAACAACTCTGGACAAGAGTTGAGTCCAAAGCTTCACAAAAAAAAAACACCTCCCTTCAACTAATAAGAACTCTCTTTTTGACAAACCTTATGCACTCTATATTTTCTTGTTGTATTGTATGTACCAAACCAAATGAAGACCACCACTATTTATACTAGAAGAAGTCTTCCTAACAATGAATAAGAAGATAATGGTATAGTAAATAGTGAAGATAATGGTTTTAGGAGTTACATAGGTTACAAGGATAATTGAGGAATTAAGAATGGAATAATGAGAGGGGTAACCAATGTCTCTAACGTGCATTGGCACAACGGCCAACTTTCCAACGTTCACATGAACGTTCATCACAAAGGCTAATGCAATAATGCCTTTGGTTATTAATTATCCACTAAGGCACAAATGTTTATCCATTGCAAGCAATGATCCAATAGATGTTCCAACGAATAGACAAATAAAAATAGTTAATTTGGCCATTCCAAGATATAATATAATATAATATTAAAATGCTGACCAACAATCCCCCTCTCATTTTCATATTAATTAAGAGAGTCTATCAGCTGAAGGAAGACTACTATGCATAATAAAGGTGTGCTCTGCATTGAACCTCCACTTAGTGAAACAATAACTTTTACTCCAGAGTCGTAATGATCTCAGACTTGAACTATGACTGCTTAAGGGAAATAAAATATCACTGCTCACACATAATAATCAAGGTGTTGACATAAGTTTTAAAGCCAGCACGTTATGGCCATGTGCTATCCCGGTTTCATGAGTGGTTTTGAGAACAAGCCCAATTCTCATAGGAAGCGACCTACTTCCACACATCACATTGGTGAAATCTGTCAAGAGTGTTCATGTAAGCTTAACACTCCACCCATACGGGCTACATATATTCATTAAGAGTTTTATCAACTCAACCTTCACAAACTATAGGAAACAATGCACTCACATCATAGGGAGGGAATAAAAAGATAGTGCATTTTTTTTTCACAACAAGTCATTATATGATTAGTTTTTCCCTTTGAACCTGGTTATATGATTTCTAGTCCCCAGGTTGGGTTTCCTCATATATGACTCAATGATTTATAGGCTTCAATCCCATCCTCCTCGATGTGCTCTAGACCTTTTCTCTCGTTAAGGCCTTAGTAAGAGGATCTGCAAGATTATCACAAGATTTGACATAATCAACATTAATGGTACCATTTGTCAAATTTACATTACTATGCTTCCTCCTTATAGGTCTGGATTTACCGTTGTAATAACGGTTTTAAACTCTACCAATTGCAACAGTGCTATCACAATGAATTAAAATAAGAGGAATTGGTTTTTCAAAATAAGGTATTTGAAATAATAAATCTCTTAACCAATTTGCTTCCTCACTAGCTGAAGCTAAAGCAATTAGTTCAGCCTCCATGGTAGAGTTAGCAAATATAATTTGCTTTTTTGATCTCCAACAAACAGCACCACCACCTAAAGTAAAGACATAACCAGTGGTAGAACATGAATCACCTGATAAAGTGTTCCAATCTGCATCACAAAAGCCTTCATGTACAACAGGATATTTTTTATAGAACAAACCACACTTTTTCGTTCCAATTAAATATCTCATAACTCTTGTTACAGCATGCCAATGTTCATTACCTGGCCTGCTGGTAAACATGTCAAGTACTCCTACTGCATATGCAATATTAGGCCTAGTGCAATCAGTCACATACCTCAAACTTCTGATTATGCTAGCATATTCCTTTTGATTTATTACATCATTTTCATTTTCAACTGGAAATAAGTGAACACTTGAATCAAAAGGAGTAGCAACATGCTTGCAATCAAGAAAGTTATATTTTTTCAAAATTTTCTCAACATAGTGTGACTGGTCAAGGAAAATTCCATCGCATGTTCTTGTTATTTTTATTTCAAGAATAAAATTTGTCTCACTAAGATCTTTCATATCAAAATGGCTTCTAAGAATATCTTTAGCTTCATCAATAACATTTATCTTAGAGCCAAAGATCAATAAATCATCAACATATAGGCAAATAATCACATGTGAATTATTCCAAGACTTATGATATATACACTTATCACACTCATTTGTTTTAAAACCATTTTCAATCATGCAAGAAGCAAACTTTTCATGCCATTGCTTAGGTGCCTGTTTCAAGCCATATAGGGATTTAGTAAGTTTACATACTTTGCTTTCTTGGCCTGTTTCAACAAAACACTCGGGTTGATCCATATAAATTTCCTCATTTAGGTCTCCATTTAAAAAAGTAGTTTTTACATCCATTTGATGAATTTGCAAATAAAAAATTGCAGTCATAGCAATTAAAAGTCTTATGGATGTAATTCTTGTTACCGGTGAAAAAGTATCAAAAAATTCTAGGCCTTCTAGTTGTTTAAAACCTTTTGCAACTAGTCTAGCCTTGTATTTATCAATAGATCCATCCTGTTTCAACTTTTTTCTTAAGACCTATTTGCAACCAATAGTTTTACAACCCGGTGGTAAATCAACTAACTTCCAAGTTTTATTAGAAATTAGAGATTTCATTTCATCAATTACAGCCTCTTTCCAAAATATAGAATCATGTGAAGATAATGTTTCTTTCAAAGTGAGAGGGTCATCTCCAACATTAAACACATAAAAATCAGGACCAAAATCTTTTTCTACTCTAGCTCTTTTACTTCTTCTTAACTCAAAATCATTGACCTCTTTATTTTTCAAAGTAGAAGTAGAAGAACTAGGTAGTGACAAAATATTTTGTTCAATCCTTTGATCCCCACTATTTTTTAGAATCAAAAGGAAACTTATTTTCATGAAAAATAGCATCAACCGATTCTATCACAATACTATCTTCAAGATTAAAAAATCTATAGGCTGTACTATTTGAAGCATAACCAAGAAAAGCACAAGTAGTAACTTTCTTACCCAATTTTGTAATCTTGGATCCATTAGCCTCACAAAGGCTAGACAACCCCAAACTCTTAGATATCCCAAACTTGGCTTGTAACCTTTCCACAATTCAAAATGTGTCAATTTAGACTTTTTATGAGGCACACGATTCAACACATAACAAGCAGTTAAAATAGCTTCACCCCAAAAATTTAAAGGTGCATGTGACTCAATAAGCATGGTATTAGTCAATTCAACCAAAATTCTATTTTTCCTTTTCGCTACTCCATTAGATGAAGGAGAGTAAGGAGGAGTAGTTTCATGAATTATTCACAATGATCTAACAAAAGAATTAAACTCATTTGACTTATATTTACGGCCTCTATCACTTCTAATTCTTTTTATTTTTCTTCCAAACTGATTTTCAACCTCATGGAGATAAGTTTTGAAATTTTCAAAAGCATCACTTTTATTTTTCATCAAGTAAACATATGTAAACTTAGAAGTGTATGTACCAAACCAAATGAAGACCACCACTATTTATACTAGAAAAAGTCTTCCTAACAATGAATAAGAAGATAATGATGTAGTAAATAGTGAAGATAATGGTCT